ATTATATTGAGTCACGCCCCTTAATCACCTGTGAAGTGTAAACACACTGACTATGTGTTGCTGTTGTTGTTGTTGTTTATTACAAATTTAACGTCCAATACATTAAAATATGATATTACGGATAGGTTAATTTAATTAAGTTATTTACATTTAAAGGCGTAATATATAAATATATATATATAAAGAAAAGAAAATGGGTAAAAACACAAAATAAAAAAGTCCTTGTATATCAAAAAGTCACAGATTTTTAAAAATCGCTGTCATCTATAATCCCATTGTCGACATTTATATTGAGTCACGCCCTTCAAGCACCTGTGATGTGTAAACTCACTGACTTTGTATTGTTTTTATAATTGTAAATAACCTGTTTTCACGGATGGAAAACTTCACTTAAAGTAGCTAAGTCTCTAACTCAATATCATCCAAAATCTTCGATATTGAAAACACGATTTATTTGTCGGTTTAAATCAACATTGATGTTGTGATCTTACCGGGAAAAGATGGCCTTCTGATATCCAATATTTAAGACAAAATAAACATTTTACAATTGGTACAAGAATCGTGTACCATAATGCGTTTCAGTGCTATTTGTAATAAGGGGCTCGAAAAACGAGTCTTGGCATATTCCACAAGTCATGTCAAACGGTGACGCTATATTCTTATCTGGAGAGCATGCCCAATAAATACTATCGGCGTAGACTGGAATAAACAAACGCTAGAGATTGAAATTCGATTGAGAATACTGGCGTATTTCGCCGAACCTAACTGATTAGAAATTACAGTAAAAACAGAAACGATTGAATGTAAATCAATTTATATACATTCATATTACGTTATTGTATGCGTTGCGACCCATTTGTGTCAATTTCTAGGCCCCAAATATTAGCGATTTAGCTCCTTTAAAGCTTGTCTAAGTGCTCCCCACCTGTTTATAATAAGACAGTGTCGAACATTATTCTCGATAAACTTCCTGATATCAGATTGATTGATTGATTGATTACCCAGGTAAATTGATTGATTGATCGGTGACACACTAACATGAGTAACATAATCCAGCCACTCCCATACGTTCACAGAATAACGTTAACATGAAATAGTGAATTAACTTTCTTAAACAACTGGCCCGGTGAAGACGGTAAAATTTAAAGTACATTGGATTTCTGCGATATTATCCAAGGCAGAAGTGGACGTAAAACCTCAGGAACGACCGGATGTCGACATGATTGTGTGGCATGGAAGGCGCGCTGGTTCGCTAACCGAGAGGTCTCGGGTCCGCTCCTTGTATTGGTCAAGAAAGTTCCGCGAGATTTTCCAGCGCGATTTCCCCTTGACAGTGGTGCAAGGGGAGGGAGGGGGGAGGCTGTCAAGGATGGTGTCTAGTCTTTCGGCGTGTAGTTGGAATCCGAAATAAGAGTAGGCCGTAGAGCCGCTGTCTGAACAACCCTACAATCGACTCTCTAGTTCATCGGATGTCTTGGATATTGAAGGGATCAGACAATATCTGCCATATCTTCGTTAAATGTTAAAATGGAACATAGGGACTTCATTTATTATTAATGGTAGCAATGGTACTTGACAACTGATGCCATCAAATTTCGACTAGATTAGAACGGTTTCGCCATTAATGATTTAATTTAAAAATGGAGAAGCGAGGCTAAGATTCGAATATACCAATAGCGTGGTTAATATCATAAATAACCAATGCACACGGCTTATCAAATTACAAACCGTGATAACTTCGCTCAGAATAAAGTAGCTTGAATGAAATTTTCAATATATTTATTTTTGATTGTCTATTTTTGAACTATTACAGCAACCACATCCAGCTCTTTGAGAGAGAAATGGGGTTTAACGTCCATCCGAGACAAACTAGGTCATTTTGTGACTAACATATGGTTCAACTTTATTTCAATAATTCGCTTGCATTTGGAGAAAACCGGTGTACCCGGAGAAAACCCACGAGGTTGGACATGCGACCCTACTCCTTGTCACGTACAACCGGGGAATCGAAACCCCGCCAGTTGACCCAATGACAGACCGTATGATATAGCACGCACGTGTTAACCATTCGGCCACCCAACCCCCCTTGACTGAAATGATCAATCCATTTATTTTTCATAATCTATTTCAAACGACCTGGGCCCTTATTCACGAAAACTTAAACTAAGATACAATCGAAATTTTAAGAAATACTGCAATTCGATTGGCTGACCAGTAAAATCAATTTGCATATTATATCCAATGAAGTTGCAGTATTTTAACTAAAGATAAAATCCAAATTTTAGTAGATACTTCAATTTTGATTGGCTAAACACTAAAATCAATCTAATATTATCCAATCAAATTACTAAAATTTGGATTTTATCTTAGTTAAAACTTCGTGAAACAGGCCCCTGTTCTTTATCGAAATCTTACATAAGACATCATTAAGTCATGCGTGCTAAGTGGGCTTGCTGTATCTGTCATTATAACACGCTGTTTAAATATATTATATTGCCATCACCTATCAAATTATAAAGTAATGTTCACGGAACACACTAAAAGCTTTATCAAATATGACACCCCTAATTATACCACGATGAATAAAGAAATCTCAAAATATATTGATTAATATATACTGTAAAATACAGATGTGACGTCATCCTTTGATGATGGTGTGGCAATCCGACATTCTTTATACTAGATGAAATATCGGGCTCGCGTGATGATTTAAAGGAGCCAAGTCTATAACTCAATATCATCTACAATCTTCGACAATGCAAACACGACTTATTGGTCTGATATCCAATATCATCCACAATCTTCGACATATCCAATATCTAAGACAAAATGAATATTGACACACGAATCTCGTGCCGGAATGCTCTCGAGCGCCATTAACCCCTCAGGGGAATACTACCGGTGTAGACTGGAATAACCAGACGCCAAAGGTTGTATTTCAATTTGGACGTTTCGCGTATTCACGGAACATAACTGATTAGAAATTACACTAAAAACAGCACTGACTGAATGTAAATCAGTTTATATACATTTATATTATATTATTATATGCGGTGAGACCCACGTGTGTCCATTTCTAGGCGCTCCTTTAAATTAAGACATTTATACCACACACAGTCAAATAATATATCGTCACTAAATAAAAAACTATGTTGTATTTTTAGATAACAAATATTTAAATAAGTTATGTCTATTTGAAACTTGTAAAAAGAAACAAATGAACGAAACGGGATTTAACCCCCCACTTTCTGTACTAAGCGGACTTATAATACATCGAAACCGTGACGGTGCTAGTATACCGGATATGGAGTAAGACTAGCAATTACTTCCCCTGTTTTCTTGCGAATGCAGGGGGGAGATGCTAACTATTGTAGGCCGGTTGGGGGGGTTCGGGTATTTCGGGAGTCCAAAAATGGACGCTTTATATAAATGAAATTTTTTGGGGAATACGAACCTGAACCATAACCCAAACCCTTTTTAGAAGGTTGAACATGGATCCAATTTAACTTTTACCCCCCTTAAAAGGGTTAGGACTAGGGTTAGTATTCCCCCAAAATACTCATTTATATAAAGCGGCCATTTTTGACACCCTAACCCAAACCCTTTTTAGAAGACTGTACACGGATCCAATTTACCCTTTACCTCTTTTAAAAGGGTTAGGGCTAGGGTTAATATTCCCCAAAATACCCACATATATAAAGCGGCCATTTTGGACTCCGGAAATACCCAATGCAGTGCCTCTACATGTATATATAGAAATTCTCCCCCCCCCCCCCCCATTTTTCAGGAAGTTTCTGTTGTCGTCTTGGTCTACAGTTTCTGTTGTCTTCTTGGTCTAAAATCGAAGACGAGAGTTTAAATTACCATTTTCTGTCACGGGGACGAAAGGACCAGGAAGTAAAGTGACACGAATTAGAGTTATCGCCAACCAAAATGACGTCACTGACTAGAAATTCCATTAAATAAACAGAGCATTCTCAAACTTAAGTTACGAGTTTACTCAAAATTGTTCGCCTTATTTTCACTAATTTATAAACCCCTTTATAAAACTTGTGTTGTTTTAATATATCAAATACACCAATAATAAATTACGTGTTTCTGGATCAAAGATATTTCTAGCAAAAAATGTAAACGGTCAACCACCATCATGACTGTGGCATGATGGGGTCTTAGTGGTAATGTTAAAAAAATATGCCACAGGTCAAGAAACATCATGGATTTCACACCGAAGGGCAACCGTATCTCTTAGAAACGTATGATGTTAAACATACATTATGCAAGAGCTAAATCTGCCTATTGCATGTCTTTCTTTAGGCCTGAAATGTTATCTAAATTATTAATTAGACATTAATTAACTTATTCAGAACATAATCAACTCTCGGCATCAACGCTAGCCTGCGATATTTACTGGATTACGATCAGATTTGCTGCTCAACTTTGATTCATGATTTAATCATGAAATGGATAATCGAGACTATGTTTTTATCGTACCGACTTCAGTAATGATGATCGAGCATAGGCTGAAAATTCAATCGCTAAAATCTTGATTCAGAGTGGATCAATTTTGACAGAAATTTTCAGCAAATTCCCTTTACATTATCTAGTTTTTAACTATTATAGTGAGAACTACCAGCTCTTTATCTAATGTCCCTATAGTGTATCTTTAAACGCTATGCTTTTCGTTTCCACATATAAATAGAAACAATAGCTTATTATTTTATTTTATTTTTATTTATTTTTTTTCTAATATATATGAACTGTTTAAACTTTAAATAACTTTTATTTTGAAAAGTCGCAGTGACAACTAAAAGTGCCAATATAATTAAAAGCCTGCCCTATGGCGTCATAAATCAGATAAATGTGTCAAATTTATAATTAATTCAGCGAATGAATAGACTATAGTTCATGTACCATTCTCCTTCGACGCGTGAGCTCAAAGAATAAATATATCCCTGTGACGGTATTTATACGTCAGAATAAATATTATTACCAACAGCCGTCTGAAAGACTTGGTATTGACCGGGTGTTTTTTAACATAGTTAATTATACAGTATATTTGGACTAGTGCTGGAACTTCTATACACAGTAAGCTAGGATACACACAGGGTATGATCGCTTTATTATTGTTATTATCATAATTTATACAAACAGAATAATATATTATTGTTATATAACTGGGGAGCCAATGTGGCCAAGTGAGTTAGACGTTAGCTCGCTAACCTGGACGTCCCGTGTTCGATCTACGTGTTGACCGACATAGTTCACCAGAATTTTCTACCCCACCCCCCGCCTTGTCAGTGGTGCAGGGCAGAGGGTCTGGCATAGAACAACGTATAGACGTTCGAAGTAGAACAGCAGGAGGTTAAAACCCATCTTATGTAATTTGGTTATAAAGTTGCCTAGCTACCATATATATGTAAATAGTAGTAGTAGTTAGTTGTATTTTACGTCCGCTTCCACCGAGGTGATATCGCAGACAATATAAATATATATATCTTGCTTTATTGCAGGTGGAAACAACAGCAAAGCAACAGGGCATTCTTAAATCGAAACACACGGGGGATGAGAACCCATTTAGCTTTATGTCTGCGACTTGCAGCAATTTTTGGAATATGTTTACACGTGGGTGCTGTGGAACGAGAATATTTCATGGCTTCTGAAGAAGTGGATTGGAATTACGCACCAACCGGTGCCAATAATCAAAACTCTGACAAACAAGAGTAAGTTGATATATTTCATTTTAATTTTATTTCAAGGCACGAGAGAGAGAGAGAGAGAGAGAGAGAGAGGGGAGAGAGAGAGTGTAACATCCATTCAACACAAACTAGATCATTTTCGGACGAACATATTGTTCAATCTTATTTCAATAAGAGAGAGAAAGAGAGAGGGTTTAACGCCCACTCGACACAAACTAGGTCATTTCGTGACTAACATATGGTTCAATGTTATTTCAATAATTCGCTTGCGCGTCGTGGTCTTTAGCAGTGGGAGGAAACCGGAGGGCCCGGAGAAAACCCACGAGGTTGGACAGGTGACCCAAAGCAAATTTTGTTGCAACGTGAGAAGAAGTAGTAGGGTCGCCTCTCCAGCCTTCGTGGTGTTTCTCCGGGTCCTCCAGCCCCCCCCCCCACAAAATAAAATTGAACCATATGCAAGTCCGGAGTGGACGTTAAACCCATTTTTCTCTCGATATTTCACCGCCGTTACCCACCGGAGTAAAATGAAGTTTATATTTCTGAAAAGTTTACCGGAAGCCGAATTTTTGGGGCGTAGCCTTTACTATTCATGGCTTCACGAACCTTTCCAAACGCAAGGGCTATCGAGGCCGTATGATGTTGCGTCACATTTAAACCGTTTAAGTTCATTCATCTTCTATATAGTTAAAAGAAGGCCTTTGCATTACCGCTGTGAACCTAGTCTCGGTCACCCAGAACCTCCTAATCTTTAACGTAGTATATTTGTCTTAATGATAGAGGCTACTGTAAAACAGATTAGAGCTTTTTCAAATATCAGTAAACCATATCAGTAAATAAGAGAGAGAGAGAGAGAGAGAGAGAGAGAAAGAGAGAGGGAGAGAGAGAGAGAGGGCGCGGGCTTTAACATTCAATCGTCCAAACTATGTCATTTCGGCGCTACCATTTCAATAGTTCGCTTGCGCGTAGGTGTTTTTACCGGAGAAAACCCACGAGGCTGGACATGCGACCCTAATCCTTGTCACGTACAAGCGGGGAATCGAAACCACGGTAAATAATAGTAAAGTAGTCAAAATAATTATTTATGAACCAGGTACAAATCAAAGAAGTAAGTGAACGTAAACTCCTACGAGTTTGTTTTTTTTTATATCAAAAATATCAACACAAGTCGATAAAGTAAAAAAAACCCCGAGGCTTTGCCGAGTATTTATTTTACTTTATCGACGGGTGTTGATATCTTAGATATAAAAAAGACGAGTAGGAGATTTTATTTATTACCAAATCCCTTCTTACATGCACAAATAAATAAATATTATTCTTTGCTATCGATTTCAATTTTACTGAACCTGATTACATTACGACGTAATGATACATGATTTTGTTTCCATCAAGGTCAATTAAATAAAAATAGTTCCTTTTTAATAAGAAAGAAGTTACTGTTCTTTGAAAATAAAAAAAAAGTAGTTCCATTTTGATTGACCAATCAAATTCATGTAAAGCGATATTATGAAATTCATCACACAAGCTATGTCTACTGTAGAATGTATTATTGGGTGATAAAATCTTTTACTTTTAACATAACTGTAGAAGGAATAAACACATAGATAGCATTGTAAGTAAAGTATCAAAACTAGTAAATTGTGGAATAAAAACAATGACGTCACAAAAGTTTGAAGACTCGCCCATAAAACACGATATTGGCTTTTAAAGAACCCTTATGCAAGGTTCCTACTGTCTTGCGCTGCTTCACGATAGGCTTGTCCCTATTGAGTCGGATACGCTCGAATACGTTTCGATACGATCATCCCGATTGCTACGACTGACCTCAATATATAATAATACCTGATACGATCACAACGATTACTCCACGATTAAAACCACGAATCGTGATAGTTGGAACTTAGTATTAACAGTTGGAATTCGATGACGAGTAGGCGGAAACGCCACAGTCCGGGCAAAATGCCCCCCCCCCCCAATAAAGATGCATTATGTTAGATTTAGATAAAGAGTTGACAGTTTTCACTATAATAGTTAAAACATAAATAATGAAAGGGGAATAAGTTGAAAATTTCAGTCAAATTATGCGGAGTTATCGTCGTTTGTAAATCAGTGTAGTTTCTATTGTCATTGCTACTGTTGTTAAGATTATCAATTTTTAAATTAAATCATTAACTGTCATCGGATTTAAATCGTTCTTGCTATAATAGTTCAAAAATAGATAATGAAAAGGGAATATGTTGAAAATTTCAGTCAAATAACGTCATTCTGTGTGGAGTGATCGTCGTTTGTAGATCAGTGTAGTCTCGATTGACATTGCTACTGTTGTTAAGATAAATCATTAACTGCCAATCAAATCAAAACCATCCAAAGTTCAAGAGAGTTGATTATGGGCGTGACATGTTAAATATACATTATGCAAGAGATAAATCTGCCAATTGCAGGTCTTTCTTTAGGCCTGAAATGTTATCTAAATTATTAATTAGACATTAATTAACTTATCCAGACAATAACCAACTCTCGATGGCATCGCTAGCCTGCGATATTTACTGGATTATGATCCCACTTGATGCTCGACTTCCATTCATAATTTAATCATGAAATGGATGATCAAGACAATGTTTTTTTTTTATCGTACAGACTTTAGTAATGATGATCGAGGCTATGACGAACTTTCAATGGCTTAATTCTCGGTTCAGAGTGGATCAATTTTCAGCAAATTGCCTTTACATTATCTAGTTTGTAACTATTATAGTGAGAACTGTCAGCTCTTTATCTTATCTCCCATAATGTATCTTTAATACATGTCTAAATGAGAATTTATATAACATTTGAGGCCAACACGAAAGATCTGCAATTGGCAGATTTTGCTCTTACAGAATGTATCTTTAACCCTGGGAAGTCACGGTGGATAAATGAGTAAGACGCTGACTTGCTAGCCTGGAGGTCGCGGGTTCGATTCCGGTGTTGACCGAGAAAGTTTATCCGGATTTCCCGGCGTGTTTCCCCTTGTTAGTGCTGTCTAGTCGTTCAGGTGGGACGAAAACCCGAGATCTTGTGTACACATGGGCGTGCACGTAAAAGATCCCTTGGCAGTTGCAATTCGATGTAAGAGAAGGCCGTAGCGCCACTGTCCGAGCAAAATTTCTCTCATAGCACACAGTATGGCGCATGCCCATCTTCATTAGCCCAGTCGGAGCAAAACAGTAGGATGTTAAACCCCATTTCATTTCATTAGCCCAGCTGGAGCAGAACAGTAGGACGTTAAACCCCATTTCATTTCTTTAACCCTGTTGGTTCAGAAAAGTAATTTGTTGAACCACTTTTCATTTTACGACATTGGCTGACGTCACAAAATAAATCAAAGTACGAAAAACTCATAGCGAAACCTTTTTCAGTTCCCCTTAATATTATGATTTTAATAGAGTTATGTCATCTAGATCATATTGAAAGTGGTGTGTCTGTGGTTTATTGTCTCATAAAAAAAATGTCAGCCAAAAGATCTCCACCATTTGACATCCGAACATAAATAGATATATATATCAATCTTATTTTAGGCATCAATCATTTTTTCATTTTGCATTTTGCATTTATACATGAATTGGATGCCAATCGTCGTCACCTACCTTTCAAACTTGGCATAGGAAGGAGCGGTCACAGGACACATATAGCAAAGTCCGCTGCTAGACTCACGAACAGCAAGCATCATGCTTTCATCTGTGATGTTTAGCCTGCGATTAGCAATAATTTTAAAAGTTCTTGGATTAATTTTAAATGTGGGTGCTGTTGAACGAGAGTATTTTATGGCAAGCGAGGAAATAAGATGGAGTTACGCGCCAACCGGCGCCAATAAACAAAGTTCTCACAAACAAAGGTACGTCAGCATTTCCTCGAAATAATCCAAGATCTGGAGTGTGTGTGTGTGTGTGTGTGTGTGGGGGGGGGGTTAACGCGTCAGCGTTGGATCATAAGGTCTGTCATTGTGTCTATTCCCTGCTTGTGCGTGACAGTTTCCTCCCACATGTAAAGACCCCTTTATCCAAATGGCGTAGTTTGGGGTATATTAATTGTCTCCATGGTTCAATTGTCTTGGCGTAGTTTGGGATATATTAATTGTCTCCATGGTAGATTTGTCTTGGTGTTGTATTAGATATATTTGTCTTCAATATTTAAAAATTAGAATATTATCTTCTGTTACATTAACCCTGTGGAGCTTGAATGGCCAACTTTCGGAGCATGCGCCAAACGCGGCGCGTGATCAGTTAGACGTCGCTTATAGTGTCCCTTTGATAATAATAAATCAAATTATTAATTTGATTGGATAATATTCGATTGATTTTAGTGCTTAGCCAATCAAAATTGAAGTAACTACATAAATTTGGATTTTATCGTGCCTTCAGTTAAAAATATGCTTAATGAATCAAATTAGGAAAGATGGACCTTTGTTCTTGTAACTGTTTAAAACGCGTTTACTGCTTGTGTTAAGTCCACCGTGTTTTCCCCTTGTCAGTGGTGCAGGATAGTGGGCTTGACAAGGACAGCTGTCTAGCCGTTTGGATGGGACGAAAAACCGAGGTTCCGCGTATACATTGACATGCACGTAAAAGATCCCTTGACAATTGGAATTCAATATAAGAGTGGGCCATAGTGCCGCTGCCTCGGCAAATTTCCCTCAGTGCACACTGCAAAGCGTATGTTCGTCTTCATTATCCCAGTCGGAGCAGAACAGTAGGATGTTAAATCCCCATTTCATTTCATCACAAAACTAGTACTAGGCCTGTCATTGAGTCAACTGACGAGGCTTCGAATCCCCGGTTGTACGTGACAAGTTGTAGGGTTGCCTTCCAACCTCGTGGGTTTTCTCCGGGTCCTCTGGTTTTCTCCCACTGCTAAAGACCCCTACGTGCAAGCGAATTATTGAAATAAAATTAAACCATATGTTAGTCCCGAAATGACCTAGTTTGTGTCGAGTGGACGTTACCCCCCCCCCCCCTCTGTCTGTCTGTCTGTCTCTCACACACACAAGTTTGCCTGTTTCGAATATTATCTGCTTTATGAGATATTGATCTGATATTGTTGGCCACCATTGTTGTATTATTTAGAAAGCTGCAGTAGTTGGGGTAACCAGGGGGTCTCGGATTCCCTCCCGGTGATGGCTGAGAAAATTCCTCAGGATTTACTGTTTCATTGCATTTCGTTTATTAAAAGTAGCCGTACGTCTTTTGGCCCCCCCCCCCCCCCATCCAAAAAAAAAAAACAAAAAAAAAACCCGAACAGATTTCTTGATTTGAGTACTGCTGATGTGCCGAAATGTATCGGTTTGTGTCGAGTGAAAATTAAACGTCATTTCTCTCTACCATTAGTATAGTTCTTTTTTGATGTATGTACTTTTATGGCGAAAGGAAATCCCTACAGAGCTTAAAGATACATTATGTAAGATTTAGATAAAGAGCTAGCCATTCTTGCTATAATAGTTCGAAAATAGATAATGTAAAATGAATAATTCGAAAATTTCATTCAAATTACTCTATTGCGAGCGAAAATATTAGCCTTTGAAGGTTTGACAAGACGTTTGCAATAATTTCAACCACCGTACTGGGTGTTCGAGGCTAAGTCTCGCTCCTCCATTTTTAGCTTAAATCAAAATATGGCTGAACTGTTCTAATCTATTTAATATCGGAGAAAACCGATGACATCGAGGGTTGATTTTGGTCTGGATAAGTTAATTAATGTCTAATTAATAATTTAGAAAACATTTCAGGCCTAAAGAAATAGGCAGATTTAGCTCTTGCATAATGTATGTTTAATTTATTTCTAACAAGATTATCCGCGTGAAGCCTCCTCGCAAAGTATAATATTGGGAAAGATGAATCTCTAATAGGAATATCAGACCAAAATGATCCCGTTGTGTATTACAAAGATATGGAAATTCCACCGATCGCTACTGCCACAATATGTATCAAGAGCGCCGCCATCTGTATTTGCCTTGAACCTAATTGATGGGTCTGTTTTAAGTCTGACTATATCCAATCCGAGAGATTTTGTTTTCTTTTTTTTTAGTCAAATAATCAATCTGAATACATATTAGCGCTAAAACGTGAGAAATTTAAATATTTTCCGAAAAATATTAATCACTCATCCATAGTTTGATAAAGTTTCTAATGTTGAAATCAAAACAGGGGGTTTGGATGGCCGAATGGTTAACACGTGCGCGCTGTATCCTAAGGTCTGTTATTGAGTCAACATGACGGTTTTTCGATTCCCCGGTTGTACGTGGCAAGGAGTAGGGTCGCCTGTCCAACCTCGTGGGTTTTGTTTTCTCAGGGTAATCCGGTTTCCCTCCACTGCTAAAAAAAAATTGAACCATGTGTTAGTCCCGAAATGACCTAGTTTGTGTTGAGTAGACATTAAACCCATCTCTCTGTCTCTCTGTCTCTCTCTCTCTCTCTGAAATCACAACCGGGCAAATATTTATAAAGATTCATATTCCTGATAGAAAGTTATAAACATCCCAGAAAGGCTTTTCATTTGGCTTAATATGTAATAAAAATGATAAATCGGCTCATATATCATAAACTATCCCGACATATTGTCTGTCACTCTTTTTATGGATTGTTTCGAGGCGCGGATGTTTTTATCGTTTAACAAAGTACATAAAATGATGATTTGAAAATAAATTACAATTAAATTATTTTTCTACATTTTTTTAAAAAAATTTTTTTATCCATTGTTTATATGATGATGATGATATAATTCATAATGACATGACCCGATATTTGCCAATATCGAAAGGAACCGAGATATTTGGAAGAAAGACCTATATTTTAAGTTTCGTCAAAATCGAGAGAGATGGGGTTTAACGTCCACTCGACACAAACTAGGTCATTTCGGGACTAACACATGGTTCAATTTTATTTCAATAATTCGCTTGCGCGTAGGGGTCTTTAGCAGTGGGAGGAAACCGGAGGACCCGGAGAAAACCCACGAGGTTGGACAGGCGACCCTACTCCTTGTCACGTACAACCGGGATTCAAAACCCCGCCAGTTGACTCCATGACAGACCGTGTGATACAGCACAGCGCGCACGTGCTAACCATTCGGCCACCCAACCACCTTTGAGTGATCCGTAGAAAATTCATCGATATTTATTTCGTTTGTCGGTGCAGAACAGAACAGTAGGCCGTTACACCTCATTTAATTTCATTTATTTCGTTTGTACAAGGACACCAATCTGTTTCACAGAGGATTATGAAAGTCTTCTAATATCTCTGTAAAAGATGACTACATTCAACACGTGACGTCTCATCACACGGCGTCAATCATTGGTTCAATGGCGCGTGCTTTGTTTACATAAGACGTGACTGATTCGGGCAGAATGCTGTCTTTTACTCATTTTAATACCCATTTACACTAAATAGGAATTCATTTTTACCTACAATTACGTCAAACGTCTTTATTTATTTTTCTAATACATAAAAAAAATGTTTTAGAATTTAATTTTTCGGAGGAAAAAAGTTAATATTTGTGGTTCATTAAGTCGCATTGATGTCATCCTTATCAGTGATTGTAGCGGCCTAGCGAATATTCGCTTCTGATCAGTGTGCAAGGACACAACACATGTCCCAAATTATTGAGTATTCACTGGTGTCTACTTTAAAAGTTCATAGCTGTGTTTTTCTTTACTTATTTTGAGTCATTTTATGTGTCTATGACTAGTCTTTGCCTACGGGTGTATGCCGTTTGACTTGCCATGTTTTTATTCAAATATTTTTCATATATATTTAGCCAGGTGTGCCGCTATTTTTTCATGTGTTCCAAGGTGTGCCGTTGGCAAAAAAAGGTCGAGAACCACTGGCTTAACCGGAGCAGAACAGTGTTTATGAGAAATATCTTTTTCACCCAGAAACACAAAACTTTGCACATAGTTTCTTATTGATGTATTTGATACATTAAAACAACAAAAGTTATATAAAGGGCTATACTTTAGTTAAAATAAGGCGAACAATTTTAAGTAAATTCGTAACTGAAGTCTGCGAAAATGCTTTGTGAAAGCGGGGCCTGATCGAAAGGCCGTATGAACGATCATTTTTGCTTAAAGCTCCACTTTTCTGGGATAAACTCCCACATGTTATCAGCCAAAGTGATAGTGTATCTTATTTTCAATCACAATTAGTTTTTTTTTTATTGTAATCAGTTTTGCATGCGGTTTAGATGACAAGTTCTGTCCGTGAGTCAAATGACGTAGTTGTGATCCCACACGTGTATGTGAGAGGATCACCACCCTATAACCCCGTCGGATTTCTCCAGATTCCCAAGTATCCACCACTGTTAAAGATCCCTACGCACAAGCGAATTATTGAAATATAATGAACTATATGTTAGTACCGAAATGACTCAGTTTGTGTCGAGTGGACGTTAAACCTCGTTTCTCTCTATTTTTTTGTTTTTGTTGGTGGGGGGGGGGGTCGAATAGTTAGCACGTGCGCGCTACATCATACGGCCTGTCACTGTGTCAACTGCGGTGATTTCTATTTCCCGGTTGTACGTGGCAAGGAGTAGCGTCGCCTGTCCAACCTCGTTGGTTTTCTCCGGGTCCTCCGGTTTCCTCTCACTGCTAAAAAACCTTACGCGCAAGAGATTTATTGAAATAAAACTGAACCATGTTATTCCCGAACTGACTCAGTTTGTGTGGAATGAACGTTAAACCCCATTTATCTCTATTCTTTTTTATGTACGATATTTTTCTCGTTTCAGATATGCCGACAAGTTTATAAAAAACGATGCTCATCAGATTGGAGCAACTTATAGAAAGGTCGTGTATAAACATTACACAGATGACAAATATATAGTGGAATGGCCGAAACCAGAACATATGGGTTTGGTGGGACCAATAATCCGTGCCGAGGTCGGGGATGTGTTAAAAATTCGATTTAAAAATAAAGCAACTCGCGCATACTCCATTTATGCACACGGTGTGTCATACAAGAAACCCTCGGAAGGTAAGATTGATGAATGAAATGGGGTTTAATATGGGGGCTGTTAGCGGCCATTCAAATGAATCTAAATCGTCGCCGTGTAAAGTAGGGAACAAGTCGACAAGTCGACAATATCAACCCGCCAACACGACAAAATAACCCGACGATCGTCGCCTTCATTTTGTGACTTGTCGGGTGAATTCTGTCGACTTGTCGACTTGTCGCCTTCGACTTATTTACAACCCGACAAGTCGACAATTCGACTAAATACAATTATTTCGACTTGTCGTGCGGCGACTTGTCGCCTCGGAAGTCAAACTCGAGGTTGCGCATTTGCTGATTGGATAACTTGCATGCGCACAGATTAACTTCCGAGGCGACAAGTCGCCGCACGACAAGTCGAAATAATTGTATTTTGTCGAAATAATTGTATTTTGTCGAAATAATTGTATTTTGTCGAAATAATTGTATTTTGTCGACTTGTCGTCTTGTCGACTTGTCGGATTGTGAAAAGTCGAAGGCGACAAGTCGACAAGTTGACGAAATGAAGACGACGATCGTCGGGTTATTTTGTCGTGTTGGCGGGTTGATTTTGTGACGATTTAGATTGCATTTGAATGGCCGCTAACAGCCACCATAGTTTAACGTTCACTTTTCTGCACCAAGTGGGCAACTGAAAACGTGCACGCTCCATGTAGTTAAAGGTGCATTATGTAAAATTTAGATATCAAGCTGAAAGTTCTTGCTAATATAGATAATGAAAAAGAGATATGTTGAAAATTTCTGTCAAATTTTAATCATTCTGGGCGGAGTTATCATCGTTGAAAGAACAGTGTAGTCTCGATTATTTTTGCTGTCGTTGTTATGATAATAAACAAAGTCTCGATTATCAATTTTTTAATTAAATCATTAACTGTCATCATACAGGGATACACTCAAGTGAACCATTGAATAACACGAGTGGTATTCAATGGTTACTGAGTGCTGTTTTTATTCTATAACTACATGCAAATCTTAAAATACACTGTACTATCCAGATTATCAAAAAAATATCATCACCAATACGTTAAAATTCATCATAGGTTCCGCCCTTTCTTCTTAATTCTTTCTTTTTTACAAAAAATCTTTTGCCTAGTGGTGACGTCATGACAGTTTGGCGTCATTTTGAACGTGACGTCATTCTGGACAAAAGTAGTACGTGTCCAAGCCATTGAAATTTTGAATACAACCATCGGTTATTCAATGGCTGTATTGAATGGCTGTATTCAATGATATTTGCTTGCATTTGCATGTAGTTATAGGGGGGTTGGATGGCTGAATGGTTAGCGTGCGCGCGCTGTATCATAAAGTCTGTCATTGAGTCGACTGGCGTGGTTTCGAATCCCCGGTTGTACGTGACAAGTAGTAGGGTCGCCTGTCCAACCTTGTGGGTTTTTTCCGGGTCCTTCGGTTTCCTCCCACTGCTAAAAACCCCTATTCGCAAGCGAATTATTGAAATAAAATTAAACCATATGTTAGTCCCGAAATGACCTAGTTTGTGTCGAGTGGACGTTAAACCCATCTCTCTCTCTCTCTCTCTCTCTCTCTCTCTCTCTCACTCACTCACTCCAGGTTTTTAGTTAAATTCACATTTTGCTTTCAGGTGCTCTTTATATGGATGGTTCCTCGGGATATTCTAAAGAGGATGACGTAGTTTTACCGGGCAAGGTTCACAATTACACGTGGGTTATAACACAGGGACCGTCAGAATCTGACCCACCGTGCATTCCCTATGTTTATCATTCTCATATCAATATGGCGAAAGACACAAACTCGGGATTAATCGGTGTCTTACTCATTTGTAAAAAAGGTAAGTTTCCACTTTTACGGGTTTGTATGTGTGCGTGTGTGCGTACAGGTGTGTGGTAGTCACTAAGCAGGGTTCGATCCCGGTGGTGGACGATTAAGGTCCGCCGCTGTTTCCAGACTCAGTGAAGCAGGAGGTCCTGAGTTCATACCAAATGTTTGCCAAGAAAGGTCTTCTGGGTGTTTTAGTCTGGTTTTCCCCATACTAAACCTGCGCTGTCTGTCTACAACTAGCTCTTCTTGCATTCTCGAAGTAGCTAGACCTCTTGTGCGAGACGGAAGACCTGACAATAAAAAACGTCCAGTCCTAGTTTATAGGACCTAGAACGAAACGTCTGGGTAACGTGTAGTATATCGGACGGTGTGTGATCGTGTGCGTGTATCCGCGGAGCTCACTAAGCAGTAATTTCCGGGCTCGATTACACAATGGTGTCCGAGAAGTTTCCCCAACATTTCCTGCCCTTGTTTTACACTTATCAGTGGTGTAAGACGGGTGACTTGGCAACGAAAAGCTTCTAGTCGTTTAGATGGGACGAAAAAAACAGCTTCCTTGTCTACCATTGAAAGCGTGTTAAAGATCCCGGAACTTAGAAATCGAAATAGGAGGATGTAGCGCCGAATACCTGACAACTCATCCCAAAGACAACTCTTCCCAAGACAACTCACCCCAATATAAGACGAATCATCCCAAGTTAGAAGACAACTCATCCCAAGATATTAACTATACTGAAACTCATATATAAAAATAAGGATATGTCATATTCTGACGAATTTCTATCAGACAATGATATGGAAACGATATCAACATGACATGGTTCAAAGAATGAATTGAAACGTGTACGCTATGGAAAGTATACAGAGCGCCCGAAACTTAAAACAACTTAATATTTAAAACAACAATATCAATTTTATTAAAACAACAATATCAATTTTAAGATAACACATTTTTATAACAAAATCAGAATGGTCTTCAAAGAAAGCAATTGTATTAAAACAAATATAATTAGCACTTATATTTGTTTGGATGAGTTGTCTTATATTTCGACCCATGTTTTAAAGTTAGGATGGGTTGTCTTTTTATCTTGGGATGAGTTTTCTGATATTGGGATGACTTGTCTTGGGATGGGTTGTCTGTGGCATGAGTTGTCTGTATACCGTAGCGCCCTTGTCAGGACAGGTATCCGCCATAAAACACTGTATGACATTAAAGGACAATATTGGTATCACATATGTGATAGAGCTGGTTAAACACTCCAAATATAATTTTAACACAGATATCATTGCTACGATAGCTGAGTAATACAGGTTTCCTGAATCGGAAGTGACGAACGCCAAAGGAAAACACCAGTCATCTCTCTATATAACTGACTGATGTGACGAGTGATAACAGATACACGGCCGAATTTCTGCTCACTAATAATTCCTTCGAAGACCAAAAGTTGTTATATGGGACTGTAAGAGGATATCTGACAATTCAATGAAGTAATTGAATGTCATTAGATAAGAGAACACGAGAAATATAGAAACACATTTCATTCCATTTCAGGTACACTTATAAATACAGTATGTAAGATTTAGATAAAGGGCTGTCCATTCTTGCTTTAATAGTTCAAAAATAGATAATGTAAAATGAATAATTTGAAAATTGCATTCAAATTATTTTATTCGGAGCCAGGTTATCACTGTAGTTTTGACAAGCTGTGTGCATGGATTGTTTATTATTGTAACCACGGTACTGGTATATTGAAGTCATAGCCTCGCTTCTTCATTTTTAAATTAAATCATCAAATTGCGGAACCGTTCTAATCTAGTTCAAATCTCGAGCATCTGATGGCATCGAGCGTTGATTATGGTCTTGTCATTATTTTATTTTGAGCCAATTTATCACTGTTTGTAGTTTGTATTATCGTAACTACGGTATTGGTATGTTCGAGTCTTAGCCTCCCTTTTCCATTTCTAAATTAAATCATCAAATGGCGGAACCGTTCTAATCTAGGTAAAATCTCCAGCATCGAACGTCATGTTAATAAATGTTTAATTAATAATTATTATTACATGTAAGACCAAACGAAAGACCTGTAATAGGCAAATTTAGCTCTTGAATAATGTATCTTTAACAACATCTTCAATAGAAGGCTTAATCTCGCCTTAACTACGTACATCTTATCAAGCCCTTCACGTAATACCCCGCATATTTTGGCACTATTTTTGATTGGGTATAAGCCCATCTTGTGATCCTATCAGATTCCTTCGTTGAAAATATCGTTACGATTATCAAGTCTCGCGCTTATAGCTAAAATGTCTACATGTGACAATCAAGTTGCAAAGTTCAAGGTTCGATCAATGTCAAGGTTGCTGGAAATCATACCTGATCAACAAAGAGTTTCTATGGAGGACGCCATATTTGTTTACAGTGTGTTATGTGCGACGACCACTGATTGGACAATGCTAATTGATCACGTGTAAACACAACGAGCGCAAAATTTCAGGAATTTCCCAGTTCTGCAGCAACGGTTAGATGTTGTAAAACTCGCGATCGTTGCTTCAGGAACATGCTTTAACAATGGCATATGTCTGTCGTTATTGGCCTTGTGGTTGTAGAAAAAAAAGACGTCGAAACGCATTTTATTTTAGGTGCACTTAACTATGGCGCCTGTCCAACCTCGTGGGTTTTCTCTGGGTCCTCCGGTTTCCCGCTACTGCTAAAAATCCCTACCAGCAAACGAATTACTGAAATAGAATGACATAGGTTGAGTCGAGTGGACGTTAACCCCCATTTATTAAAACCCATTTTAATTGTATTCCATTTCAGGCACACTTAACTATGATCACACAAGAAACGATGTTAGTAACGAACTGGTTGTTCTCAGTAAAGCTTTCGACGAGAACCAGAGTTGGTATATGGATCAGAACTTGAGACAATGTGGAAGCATATTCGTCTGTAAGAGAACGAGAAAGATGGGCGAGATCCACTGGGTCGAGAGCAACATCATGCACTCTATCAATGGACGATCGTTTTCCAATTTAGAAGGATTAGCGACTTGTGCTGGTGATAAGGTGGCTTGGTATTTCTTATCCTTTGGTGATGAATTGGATGCTCATTCTATATTTGTTGAAGGACAAGTCATGAAAATACAGCATCAGAAGTAAGTTCAGTTTTTAGCTCCATCACCACTAGTCATAAGGTCTGGTATTGAGTTAAGTGACGTGGTTTTAGCTCCATCGCCACTAGTTGGATTTAGACCAGTAATGCTCTCCCAGGTTGCTTCAAAGTTTCTTGACCTATAACATGTTTTTGAAACCAGGTTGACCACCACTCATAATTCTCTCCGCAACATGGTGCCACAGTGGCTAAGTGGGTAAGACGCTGGCTCGCTAGCCTGGAGGTCGTGTGATCGATCCCTGCATTGGCTGAGAAAAGTTCATCGGGCTTTTCCGACGTGGTTTTCCCCTTGTCAGTGGTGCAGCACGGAGGGGCTGACAAGGACTTCTGTCTAGTCGTTCAGATATGACGAAAACCAGAGGTCCCGTGTATACATTGGCGTGCACGTAAAAGATCCCTTAGCAGTGGGAATTCGATATAAAAGTAGGCCATAGTGGCGCGCCCCGGGCAAAATTTCTCTCACAGCACACTGTATGGCCTATTCTTGTATTCATTAGCCAGCCCAGTCGGAGCAGAACAGTAGGACGTTAAACCCCATTTCATTTCTCCAGAACATTATAGTGAATGCGGCCATATTTCTTCGCCTATATCATTTGATTGGGCATCCTGATGATCGTAATCTTTTTAGTCACAAAAAGTCCAACTAGCCGGACCCGACTAGATGGCCGAATGGTTAGCACATGCGCGCTGTATCATAAAGCCTCTCATTGAGACAACTTGCGTGGTTTCGTATCTCCCGTTGTTCGTGACAAGGAGTAGGGTCGCCTGTCCAACCTTCCATTCGTTTTGCGTAATTCGTGTGTTTACTAACAGTTTTTCTTTTCATTCAGAAAGAGCACAGCCTCTGTGTATCCCGGGACAACGGAAGCTGGTTTTATGATAGCACATGGTCCTGGACGTTATCGAGTTAGCTCCATGATGGAAGACCATTACGAAGGTAAACATATCTTATTCATGGAAACTTAAACTAAAATATTTTAAGGGTGTGATCTTTTCATTGGTTTAGAATGCTAGATCTTAGCCAATAAAAAGACTCCCTTCTTAGTTTAGTTTAAGTTGTCTGCGATATCACCTCGGTGGAAGCGGACGTTAAATAAAACTAACTCACACACAGTTTAGTTTAAGATTTCGTGAAGATGTCCATGGGTTCAAAGACGAAATCTGATTAAAACACCGATCCAATTTATTTTCGCTTTTTATAATTTAAAATCTCGTTTTACTTGTCTTCAGTACACCAGGATCTGGAATTGTTCTTAAATAAATGGCGTTTTGATTGATGTGAGGGATTAGCCAATCAAATGGTCTGTTCAGTTGAGTTCTTGTCGTCTAGCATACGGAACTGTGGCTAAACATTCGCAGCGATAGAATACAAATCGAAGCAGAAGTCGTATTTACAAATACCCACTTAAAACACAGACGCTGATAGGTCAATCGATGACTGACGTCTTAGGGTCACAGGCCGCTTGTATGGCCCCTGACGAGACCTTCCACTACCACCGGTCAGATCTTCATTTAGTGAAGGCCATATATATAAAAAAAACCGAAACCATGTTAAATGATACTATTTCATTCTATTCCCAACTGATTTGTAAGGGAAATGCTAATTATAGGCAGATTGGGGAAGTCCCGTTTTAAGAGGGGTAAATTGTTAATTGGATTCAAGTTCAGTCTTCTAAAAAGGGTTAGGATTAGGGTTTGTATTCCCCAAAGCCGCCATTGTTGACTCTGGAAATTTCCGAACCTCTCCAAATGGCCTATAATTAGCATCTCCCGAATTTTAAGTGACTGACTGAACTACATTAGACGTTGGGTTGGATGGCCGAATGCTTTAACCCGTTTTCTCCAGATCATCCGGCTCCGCCCATGCTAAAGAACCCCATGTGCAAGCCAATAATTGAAATAAAATCGAGCCGTATGTTAATCCCGAAATGACATAGTTTGTGTCGAGTGGACGCTAAACCCCATTTCTCTCTCTTTTTCTCCAACTCTTAGAACACGTGATACTACTTTTCATTTGAGGATTCCAGACATTGTTTTATCGTTAAAGGGACCTTCATTTACTCATAGGTTGAATATGTATATTTGTTTTCAAATTCCTTAGTTACGTTTTTAAACATTCTCTTTTGTTTTAAAACAGACGGAATGTCCGCCTTCTTTGTTGTGAACGATTGTCTGTATCCCAATGCATCACTTCCGGTAACCACACAGACACGAGCGTACTTCTTGAGTATAGAGGAGGACGCCTGGGACTATGCATCGTCTGGACAAGATCAACTTACGAATACAACTCTAACAGAGGGGTACGTAACATTTGGAAACATGACAGGGTATACTTACCCTTTCTAGAACGTCTGATACCACTTCTCATTTGAGATTACATGGTAGTTTTTCAGGGGTCTGTCTTCCCGAAGACCGAAGTTATCGTAAAGCCAGTAGATTCTCCTGGCCCGGTTTCACAAAGCATTCTCAGACCTATGTTAAGAATTTACTCAACTTTCAATCACTGTTTATGAAAAATATCTCTGATCCATAAACACAAAACTTTACATATAGTTTCTTGTTGATGTATTTGAGACAATAAAGCAACAAAAGTTTTATAAAGGACACTATTTTAGTTGAAATAAGGCGAACAATTTTGAGTAAATTCTTAACTAAGTCGGAGAATTTTTTTTGAAAGTGGGGTCTGGACTCCTTTATCCATCTTCCCGTAAAAGCGCTTCGACTTCAGAAAAAAGAAAGCAGTTGGAAATTCAGAGCTACTGCGTAGTTACTATTCGTCACACTGATCAGAGGTGAATAGACGCTAGGCCGCTACAATCACTGATAAAGATGACATCGATGCGTCTTAATGAGCCCCAAATATTACCTTTTTCCCTCCGACAAATTAAATTCTAAAACATTTTTTTTATGTATTAGTAAAATAAATAAAGTATTTGTAGGTAAAAATTATTTCCTATTTACTGTAAATGGGTATTAAAATGAGTAAAAGGCACCATTCTGCCCGAACCAGTAACATCTTATGCAAACAATGCACACGCCATTGAACCAATAATTGACGCCGCGTTGGGTGACGTACGTGTTAAAGACAGTTATCTTTTACAAAGATATTAGAAGACTTTCATAATCCTCTGTGAAAGAAATTGACTAGTCGTCTCCCCAATAGTGAGCCACGGTGGCTAAGTGGGCAAGACGTTGGCTCGCTAGCCTGGAGGTCCGATGTTCGATCACTGCGTTTGCCGAGAAAATCAAACGGGATTTTCCGGCACGGTTCCTCATTGTCAGTGCTGCACGACTGAGGGCCTGCCAAGGGACAACGTATAGTCGTTCGAATGGGAAGAAAACCCGAAGTCCCGTGTACACATTGGCGTGTACGTTAATGGTCCCTTGACATTTGGAATTAGATATATAAATGTCCCTCATGGCACACTTTATAACGTATGCCCGTCTTCATTATCCCAATCGAAGCAGAACAGTAGGACGTTAAACCCCATTTTATTTCATTTTCCTTTATACTCTCAAACCAACTGGCAGAGTTCTTTCATTACATTTTTTTTCAGACCGATTTCTAGCCTTTTCTTTGATAAAACTGCCAAGATTGGCGGAAAATATATCAAAGCAAGATATATCCAATACTTAGACCAAACTTTCACGTCTCCAATAGATCGAAAACCGGATGAGAAACATATGGGAATAATGGGACCTGTTATTCGAGTTGAAGAAGGCGAGGAGGTGATAGTACACCTGCAGAACAAAGCTACAAAGACATATTCTTTTACTGCGCAATCTCTCTACTCTATACCCGAAAATTCGGGTTACTCATCAGGTAAGATAAACATTGTAGGACTTGATCTGTTTCATAAACATACATTATGCAACAGCTAAATCTGCCTATTTCAGGTCTTTCTTTAGGCTTGAAATGTTATCTAAATTATCAATTAGATAATAATGAACTTATCCAGGCCATAATAAACTCTCGATGTCATGGTTATCCTGCGATATTTAGTGGATTTGAATCCATTTTCGTGATGGATAATTTAACGTAAAAATGGATAATCGAGACTAGTAAGTAATGATTATCACGGCTAGCCTAAAATAAACTCTCGATGTCATGGTTATCCTGCGATATTTAGTGGATTTGAATCCATTTTCGTGATGGATAATTTAACGTAAAAATGAATAATCGAGACTAGTAAGTAATGATTATCACGGCTAGCCTAAAATTGAATCGCTAATATCTCGGTTCAGAGTGACACAATTTGACTGAAATGTTCAGTATATTCTGTTTTCATTATCTATTTTTAAAAACTATTATAGCGAGAACTGTCAGCTCTTTAGCCAATCTTACCTAATGTCCCTTTAAGGCCAACTCAAGATTTCGTCAAAATCGCTGAGATGTAAATAAGGATAGGGCACGTGATTGTTGGTGAGATTTTGGGTTAGTTTTAAGAATTTGGGGGGAGGTTAAGTCTCCACATAAGCACTGACCTAGGATGATGAAAATTTGGTTCGTGATATTTCCTAGTGTTATAAAGATACACACAATACATTAGATTTATATACAAAGTTGATTTCACTGTTTTTGGTGATGGTAGCGCTTGTGGTATTCTGGTATTTTTGTTTCTGAAGAAAAAAGAATAAATTTGAGTCTCTCTGGTTAGAGTCACATTAGTGTGTTTCCTATTAAGGATTGGATTTTCTAAAAATGTGTATGCTCCACTATCCCCGGGTTAGGGCTAGGGATTCTTATATCTAGTTGATTTTATTTGCTAAGGGTTAGGGCTAGGGTTTGATATATTATTTGCTTTCGGATAGGGCAAGGACTGGTCTTATTTAGCCCAATTTACTGTGCACAAGGATGTCGTTCAGATTTTTATTTTTAGAATATGCAATTACAAGTTTTTGTGTGAAGATTTTTGGGTGATTTTCTTGGAGATCAGTATAGTGTTTTCCGATGATTTTGGATTCACGTGCTATTGCGCTAGCTATGGGGCTGCTGTTTTCAATTTGTCAATCCAGAATTTTTCTCTTTTTAGCCTAAACGTTTTAATTTCTTCTGGAGCTTCAAAGTCGTTCTTAGTCTTTTCCATTGGCGTGAGAATAATATTAGAAATGTCATAATTTGGTTGGTTGAAGTGAATTCAGATAGGTTTGTCTTTTTTGGTGACTATGTTTTACCGGGGACCGTTAATTCTTTCCCTAAGTGCATTTAGAGTCTCTCCAACGTATTGTTTGTCACATTGTCTACGTGGAATTAGATAAATTATGTTTGAACCGTTGCATGAAAGTTGGTTTGATATTGGGAATTGTGTGCCAGATGTTTTGTTATGGAACTGGTCGGATATATTTATGATTTTGTATGTTTGACATCTTAGGTGCCCACAAGTTTTAGTTTTAACTGCTAATTGCATATTGTTTGTTTCTTTGGCGGCAAGTTCAGCTTGAGTATTGTTTTTTTTAAAAGCGGGAGATAGCGTTTGGAGTATCCCCTTTCTGTTAGTTTGCTAAATAGCAGCGTACATGCTGACTCAAAGTCGGTCTTCTGAATACATATCCTATGAAAACGGTGAATCTGAGATTTTATGAAGGCAGAGAAGGTATGTTTGGGGTGAAAGGAGCTCTTGAACAATAGTTGATGTGTATCGGTTTCTTTGAAAATACTTTGGTGTTTCTACTTGTACAAACAGTGGTGTCAAAGAAACCTCATAGGTTTCTCGGGGTCCTCCGGTTTCCTCCCACTGCTAAAGACCCCTACGCGCAAGCGAACTATCGAAATAAAACTGAACCTTATGTTAGTCCCGAAATGACCTAGTTTGTGTCGAATGGACGTTAAACCCCATTTCTCTCCCTCCATTGTTTTACATAATGAATTATTTGCTGGTTCCGAATGAAATTACAGAGTTCAAGTTCCAACCATCGTCCAACGTCAATACTGCTGTACTTTTCATAAATTCTCATATTTTTGAGACTTGTTCTTGTGTTGCATTATATAGAGGATATTTGTCGTTTTAGAGTGAATAACATATTTTATTTCATCGAGAAGCAAGAAAACTTATATTTTCAGGAATGCGTAGTTTTCTTGCTTAGAGATGAAATGAAAAGGTTTATTTGCCGGAGCTCAAGTTCCAACCATCGTCCAAAGTAAATTCTCATATTTTTGGAATCTATTCTTGTTTTTTTAAAGGGTTATTCGCTGGTTCCGAAAAAGAGTATAGATTTCAAGTTCCTACCAACGTCACTAGACCCAATGACCCTGACTGTGTTGTCAGGATGTATTACTCCGCCACGGATTTCACGAGGGATGTGAATGCTGGGTTGATTGGACCTCTATTGATATGCAGAACAGGAACGCTAAAAGCCGATAATCAACCGGTAAATATGTTCAAATGTTTGTCACATTAAAACGGAAATGAAATGAGGTTAACTTCCTACTGTTCTGCTCAGACTTCGCTAATGAAGAAGAATATACGCCATGCAGTGTGCTATCAGGGTAATCTCCGCTCCCCCATCCAAACAATAAACAATAAAATGCTGGACTGAGCTGGGCTTTTGGTCAAGTGGAGAATGCAGTGTCCAAAGGGGTGTCCAAGCGGTGCAGGGGCGACCAACAAGTGTCCAAACAAGTGTCCAAAGGGTGCAGGGTGGTCGACCAAGAAGTTGTATTTAGGTCCAAGTCGAGAATGCAGTGCCCAAACGGTGCAGGGGTCATCAACAAGTGCCCAAACGGTGCAGGGGTTATCAACAAGTGTCCAAACGGTGCAAGGGTCATCAACAAGTGTCCAAACGGTGCAGGGGCGACCAACAAGTTGTGCTTGTATTTTGTTTATTTTAAAAATGGTGTTCTTTTTTTGTTACAGGTAAATAATATAACAAAAGAATTTTTCCTGTTATTTAAAATGTTTGATGAGAATAAAGCCGGATATCTGGACACAACCATCACCACTTTTGGAGCTGCAGTAACCGTTCCCCAGAGACAGGAAGAGGCCTTTATATTATCCAATAAGATGATGAGTAAATATTATTTTTGACTTATTTTCTTGTGAACACGCTACTGACAGTTTGCCCAGACAGTGGCGTTTCGGTCGCCTCTTCATCGACTTCAAATTGTACACCAAAAAGCGTACACGGGTGAACCTGGGGTTTACGTCCCATCCGAACGACTAGATAGTTTGTTCTTGTCACTGATATCGAGCCCTGGAGCTCCCGGGTAGTTAGTCAGCCGTCACTATACTTTACCCCCTGAGCCGCCATTGCCCCACGATCGACTACTACTGAGGCGTTGTGGTTCATGGTCGATTATAGGCTAATATTGGGGCGTGGTAGTTCATGATCGATTATAGACTACTACTGGGGCGTGGTGGTTCATGATTGACTATAGGCTAACTCTTTGGCCTTTTAGTTCATGATTGACTATAGGCTACTACCGGGGCGTGGTGGTTCATGACTTAAGACTACTACCGGGGCGTGGTGGTTCATGACTGACTATAGACTAATACTGGGGCGTGGTGGTTCATGATCGATTATAGACTACTACTGGGGCGTGGTGGTTCATGATCGACTATAGACTACTACTGGGGCGTGGTAGTTCATGATTGACTATAGACTACTATCAGGGCGTGGTGGTTCATGACTGATTATAGACTACTACTGGGGCGTGGTAGTTCATGATCGATTATAGACTACTACTGGGGCGTGGTAGTTCATGGTCGACTATAGGCTAATACTGGGGCGTGGTGGTTCACACAACCTAAACAATATTTATATTATTGTGGATCGTGTAGAAAAACTATGGGCTGTGTGGGGCATGCTAGAATCTATTTGTAGTCGATTATGATTATATCGTTTAAAACTACATTGAAATCACGTGATAGTTTAGATTTTAGAGAGGTCGCAAAAACCTAAAAGAGCTAAACCTCTAACTCAATTAGAATTCAATATTGGTACATTTAGATCAATATTGATGTGGGCACTTTAAAATCACTACACGAGTCGTGTATTTCGTGTGTTTCGGGTGCCATTTGTAATGACCAAAGAAAAAACATATCCTATAAGACAATGAAGAAGTAAATAGTAATGGTTGATTTACAAACGACAAAATAATAATAATAATAAAACCTATAAAATGGACTAAGCAGACGTAAACAGATGCCGTTCAGTTTTGGTTGTTCACGTATTTCACCGAACATAAATAAAAAAAATGTTTTATAAATTGAATAACTATGACTTTATATACTTTGATATTACATTAGTATGTGCTTTTAGATCCATTTTTGTCCATTTGAACAATATTCCCTTTAACGGGCAGGAAATCTCAAAACCATGACGCGATGCGCGTCATTGCACCCACTTAATTTACCCTGTGTTATATTAAGCCAGTGGTTCTCAACCTTTTTTTGCCAACGGCACACCTTGGAACACATGAAAAAATAGCTTTGTGGTTCATAGTCGAGTATAGGCTAATACTGGGGCGTGGCGGTTCATGATTGACTATAGACTACTACGGGGCGTGGTGGTTCATGACTTAAGACTACTACTATATCGTTTAAAACTACATTGAAATCACGTGATAGTTTAGATTTTAGAGAGGTCGCAAAAACCTAAAAGAGCTAAACCTCTAACTCAATTAGAATTCAATATTGGTACATTTAGATCAATATTGATGTGGGCACTTTAACATCACTACACGAGTCGTGTATTTCGTGTGTTTCGGGTGCCATTTGTAATGACCAAAGAAAAAACATATCCTATAAGACAATGAAGAAGTAAATAGTAATGGTTGATTTACAAACGACAAAATAATAATAATAATAAAACCTATAAAATGGACTAAGCAGACGTAAACAGATGCCGTTCAGTTTTGGTTGTTCACGTATTTCACCGAACATAAATAAAAAAAATGTTTTATAAATTGAATAACTATGACTTTATATACTTTGATATTACATTAGTATGTGCTTTTAGATCCATTTTTGTCCATTTGAACAATATTCCCTTTAACGGGCAGGAAATCTCAAAACCATGACGCGATGCGCGTCATTGCACCCACTTAATTTACCCTGTGTTATATTAAGCCAGTGGTTCTCAACCTTTTTTTGCCAACGGCACACCTTGGAACACATGAAAGAATAGCGGCACACCTGGTTAAATATATATGAAAAACATTTGAATTTTGCAAAATAAAAACATGGCAAGACTGTAGACATAGACTAGTCATAGACACATAGAATGACTCAAACTAAATAAAGAAAAACACAGCTATGGACTTACTCTATTGCAGTGTTTCGTATTTCATTAGTCAAAACGCTTCTTTAGTGAGAAATTCTCTTAATGTGCCGATCAAAATTTCGCGGCACACTTAGGAAGATCTCGCGGCACACTGGTTGAGAATCACTGTACTTATGTTCCTGAAGTAACGACTGCGAGTTTCACGACATCTGGTCATTGCTTGTTTACTTCACAATTGCCGAACTTATAGCTATGTTATCTACAGAAACGTGAGCAGTAGTGTCCAATCATAGGTTGTGACATCGCGACCTCCACGGAAACCTTGACATTGAATAAACCTTGAACTTTGCAACTCGATTATCACCGGTAGACATTTTAGCTTGAAAACGCAACGATCGAGGAATCTGATAGGCTCACAAGTTGGGCTTCTACCCAAACGAAATTAGTGCAGAAATATGTAGGTTATTACGTGAAGGCCTTGATTAGATGTACGTAGTTAAAGCGAGCAATCTGATTAAAATACAGATCTATATTTCGTTTCGTTTTTTTTATACTTTCGATGGCCTACACTACATGAAGTTCTGACAAGTTATAGCGATAGGTCACGTCAGGGGTCAAAAGACCGACAGTATGACCCTATGACGTCAGACATTTGATTAACCAATCAGCATTGATGTTACTAGTGGATTACCCACAGTTCCGTGAAAAACACGCCTAAAGCTCGCCGTAACAGACCGTTTGATTGGCTTATCCCTGACACCATTCAGAACACGCGTTAAATAACAACTCTTCCAGATCCAAGTATAGTAAAGACAAGTAAAACGAAATTTTGAACTATAAAAACGAAACGAAATAGGATCTGTGTTTTAACCAGATTGGTAAAGCGAGATTAAGCCTTCTATTGAAGATGCACTGTACTAAGCCTATATTATACTTACAGGTATCAATGGATATTCGTTTGCCAATGTTCCCGGTTTGGATATGTGTTCCGGCGATAACGTAGTGTGGCACATCATGACTATTGGTCATTCTGCTGATGACGTCAGTGCTCATTTCCAAGGCCAGACGTTCGCTGACAATGGTAGAAATAGCGATACCGTCGGGTTGGTTTCAGGTTCAACAAAAAGTGTTCAAATGGTTCCTGATATGCCAGGTATATGCCGTATTTTTAAAAAAATTTCATAGTGATCGATCGCGAATATTTGATATTTAAATTAATGACGCCGGTATTCAGGGGTGTTTTCGGGGTGAGTGGGGTCGGGTGATTCGAGTGATTTAACAGAGAAAGAGAGAGAAAAATGGGGCTTAACGTCCACTCGACACAACTAGGTCATTTCGGGACTAACATATGGTTTAATTTTATTTCAATAATTCGCTTGCGCATAGGGGTCTTTGGCAGTTGGAGGAAACCGGAGGACCCGGAGAAAACCCACAAGGTTGGACAGGCGACCCTACTCCTTGTCACGTACAACCGGGGATTCGAAACCACGCCAGTCGACTCAATGACAGACTTTATGATACGGCGCGCGCGCACGCTAACCATTCAGCCATCCAACACCCCCCCCCCCGAGTGATTTAACGCGTGCGCTTTAGATTATAAGGTCTGTCATTGAGTCAAGTTGCATGGTTTTGTTCCTAAGTTTGTACGTGACAAGAGTATGGTCGCCTGGTCTGACCAACGTTGCGAGTATATCCTTTTTCCTCTTACAGCTAAAGATCCCCACGAACAAATGAAATGAAATGAAATGGAGTTTAACGTCCTACTGTTCTGCTCCTAACCTGGGCTAATGAAGACGGGCATACGCCATACAGTGTGCTATGGGGGAAATTTTGCCCGGACAGCGGCACTACGGCCTACTAGTATATCGAATTCCAACTGCCAAGGGATCTTTTACGTGCACGCCAATGTGTACACGGGACCTCGGTTTTTCGTCCCATCCGAAGGACTAGACAGCTTTCTTTGTCAGCCCCTCCGTCCTGCATCACTGACAAGGGAGAACCACGCCGGAAAATCTGGATGAACTTTCTCGGCCAATGCAGGGATCGAACACCCGACCTCCAGGCTAGCGAGCTAGCGTCTTACCCACTTAGCCACGTGATTCCCCCCCCCCCACGAACAAGAAAATTGTTGGGAGAAAATTGAACCACAGTGGAAATGAAATGAAATGGGGTTTAACCTCCTACTGCTCTGCATCGATTGTACCAATGAAGACCTCGGTGTGCTATGGCGGAAATTTTGGCAACTCTTAATTCGAATTCAGACTGCCAAGGGATATATTACGTGCACGCCAATGTGTACAAGGGACCTATGTTTTTTGTACCATCCGATCACGGCTATACGTTGGTCTTTGTCAGAAAATCGAGGTACCATGTACATTGGGATGCATGTAAAAGATCACTTAGCAATTGGAAATATATATAAGAGTAGGTCTTATCGGCGCTGCCCGGGCACAATTTCCCAATCCGAGCAGAACGTTAAGGCGTTAAATCCCATTTCATTTCATATTACAGAGCAGTCAATAGTGTTCGGGTAGCCCCCCCCCCCCCCCCGCCTCATCCCTTATCCCATATTTAAATAATCATAATAATATGCTTTGTTATATATCTTGCAGGTATTTGGGCGTTATTATCCCTTGTAAATGAACAGAACATTATGGGGATGACCGCAAAGTATACCGTTCGCCTGTGTCCTGGGCAACCATTTACTCCCGTTGCAAACATTTACACAAACATCCAGTTACCTCCTTTTAACGCGCCGGTTAGAAGATTTGCCGTTGCTGCAACCGAGGTCAATTGGGATTACGCCACCGTACAATCAGATTTTGTATCCGGGATAGGTCTAAATGATCCCAGAGCGTAAGTATTTTTGAATATATATTTTTCATATAATGCATTATTGGGTGGTACTTGGTAGTAATGGGTAGTATTAGGTAGTGATGGGTAGTATTGGGTAGTGATGGGTAGTATTGGGTAGCGATGGGTAGTATTAGGTGGTACTGTGCAGTAATGGGTAGTGATGGGTAGTAATAGGTAGTAATTGGTAGTATTGGGTAGTAATAGGTAGTATTGGGTAGTGATGGATATTAATGGATAGTATTAGGTAGTATTGGGTAGTGATAGGTAGTAATTGGTAGTATTGGGTAGTAATGGGTAATCGTGGGTAGTTTTGGGTAGTAATAGGTAGTATTGGGTAGTAATAGGTAGTATTGGGTAGGAATAAGTAGTCGTGGGTAGTATTGGGTATTAATAGGTAGTATTGGGTATTAATAGGTAGTATTGGGTAGTGATTGGTAGTAATGGATAGTAATGGATAGTATTGGGTAGTGATGGGTAGTATCGGGCAGTATTGGGTAGTATTATTATATATATATAATAATGGGTAGTATTGTGTAAATCGCCCCGCCCATGAAACAGTGTTTACTGTCTTACTGTTCTGTAATTAGAATGTCTGACATTGAGTCAAGTGGCGTGGTTTCTATTCCCCGCTTGTACGTGACAAGGAGTAGGGTCGTCTGTCCAAATTCGTGGGTTTTCTCCGGGTCCGCCGGTTTCCTTTCACTGCTAAATCAGGTGAAAAGGGGGATTTCGGGCTATAACGCATGCGTCGACTGCATAAGAAAATATCTCAACCAACCATGCAATTGAATTTGTGTTCAATTACGTCACGGTTCTGCTCTCACCGCCTTCGTTGTCGGGACTGACAGAACTTCCGCGACACTGGGTTGAAATTCTGTCAATTTACCTGTATCCTAGAGAGAGCCATGTTTCTGAAGCAACGACTACGAGTTTTGCAACATCTGGACGTTGCTAGATTACTTTACAATTCCCGAACTTATAGCTACGTTATCTGCAGACGCGTGAACAGTAACGTCCAAACAGAGGTTGGGACATAGCGACCTTGACATTGAACGAAACGTGGACTTTGCAACTCGATTATCACAGGTAGACATTTTAGTTGGAAAGCGCGAGACTTGGTATTCGCGATTATCGAGGACCCTGATAGGCTCACAAGCTGAGTGAATATCCAATCGAAATTAGTGCCGAAATATGCAGGGTATTACGTGAAGGCCTTGCTAAGATGAACGCAGTTAAAGCGAGATTAAGCCTTCTATTGAAGATGAGAGATTAGTCGATCGATATGAAACCCCAGCATGTAAATCCCCTTTCATGGCCGAAAGGTTAGCACGTGCGTGCTGTATCATAAGGCCTGTCGTTGAGTCAACTGTCTTGGTTTCGAATCCCCGGTTGTACGTGACAAGGAGCAGGGTGGCCTGTCCAACCTCGTGTTTTTTCTCTGGGTCCTCCGGTTTCCTCCCACTTCTAAAGACCCCTACGCGCAAGCGAATTATTGAAATAAACAATTTCAAAATGTCCAACCGCGTGGGTTTTCTCCGGTTTCCTCCAGCTGTCAAAGACCCCCTATGCACAATATGTTAGTCCTGAAATGACCTAGTCTGTGTCGAATTGATGTTAACCCCCTCTCTCTCTCTCTCTCTTTCTCTCTCTCTCTCTCTCTCAGAAACTCAGAAACATAAAACAATGATTAATGTGTAGCTTTATTTTTACAAATTAGTTACATGAACTCGTTATTTTCTCATTGGCGTGCACATAAAAGATCCCTTGGCAGTTGGAATTCGATATAAGAGTAGGCCATAGTGCCGCTGCCCGGGCAAAACTTCCCCCATAGCACACTGTATGGCGTATGTCCGTCTTCATTAGCCCAGTATAGGAGCAGAACAGTAGGACGTTAAACCTCATTTCATTTCATTTTGTTGTTTTCTATACCATCATACTCCACGGGTGGTCACCCCCCACCTCTCTCTCTCTCTCTCTCTCTCTCTCTCTCGCATACACACACTCTCTCCCACTTATTCTTTTACAGAGATGGAAACATCTACATCAAACACGACAACAATTTTATTGGCACTGTGTACAAAAAGGCCGTCTTCAAGGCGTATACGGATACAAGCTTCTCAACACCTGTAACACGGGGCTTCGACGCCAGTCATCTTGGAATTCTAGGCCCGGTTATCCAAGCTGAAGTTGGAGACTTTATAGAAATTCTATTTCACAACGATGCGTCAAGACCGTATTCGATGTATGCGCATGGTTTGATGACGAATAAGTCCAACGAAGGGTATTTTTACAGTGATGGTCGCCCTATCACAGGACAACATTCGGTTCAACCAGGACAAACTGTTATATATCGTTGGTACGTAGCTGCGCGATCAGGACCAGGAAAAGGCGACCCCAACTGCATTCCACATCTGTATTATTCTGCAGTGGACCGGACCCGTGACGTGGCCTCTGGATTGGTAGGGCCGATGGAAATTTGTCGTAAAGGCACGCTAGACCAGAACAATAGACGAAGGGATGTTTCTAGAGAATTCCATCTCTTGTTCAAAATGTTTAATGAGAACCTGAGCTGGTATCTGGATGACAATATCCAGCAACATGCAAAGGGACGACTAGGCACTGAATTCGATATAGATGCACTGTTTGAAGAAAGCAACAAGAAGTTCAGCATTAACGGGGAATTGTACGGAAATTTAAAGGGTCTCTTGATGTTACAAAATGAAACGGTCGTATGGTATTTATACGCGCTCGGAGCCAAGACAGGGTTGAATACAGTGCATTTCAATGGTAACACGGTTGTTAGACAGAGCCAGATGAACAGAAGAACGGACACTGTTGAAGTTTATCCCGGAATGTCAGAAGCTGTGACGATGTTTGCAGAAAATCCCGGAAGTTGGATGGTAAATAGTGACGTTGATGTTCACTTCACTTCCGGTATGATGGCGCCATACAAAGTCTTTCCATTGTAAGTATTTGTTGTTTTTTTTTGTTTTATGGAATCTGAATTCTAATTTTCGATATTTTCTTCATTAATGGCTAGCACGTATCATAAGGCCCTGTCAATTGAGTCAACTGGCGTGGATTCGCATCCCCGGTTCTACGCGACAAAGAGCAGGGTCGCTTGTCCTGTCCAACCTCGTGGGTTTTCTCCGGGTCCTCCGATTTCCTCCCACTGCTAAAGACCCCTACGCGCAAGCAAATTATTGAAATAAAACTAAACCATATGCTAGTACCGAAATTACCTAGTTTTTGTCGAGTGGACGTTAAACGCTCGCTCTATCTCTCTCTCTCTCTCTCTCTCTCTCTCTCTCTTTCATTAAAGGAGCTACATCTTTATTCTTCGGCACCTAGAAATGAACAAATGAAGGCCACAACGCATTTAACAATGTATTATGAATGTATATAAATTGATTTACATTCAACGGTTTCTGTTATTACTGTAATTTCTGATCAGCTACGTTCGGCGAATGGCAGCCTTTGGCTTCTGGTTATTCCAGTCTACCTCGACAGTATTCGTCTATAGGGTACGTTTAGCCTCGTTCATCGAGTCGTTACATTACAAATGGCGCTCGAAAGCATTCTGGTACGCGACTCGTGTGCCAGTTAGAAAATTTTGTCTTAAATGTAGGATATAAGGAGCCCATCTTTTCACAATAAGATAACAACATCATTGTTGATTTAAATTGATCATTAAGTCATGTTTGCAATGTCGAAGACTGTGGATGATGTTGAGTTGTCTTCTTTAAATTCTCATTGCATCATTTTAGCGCAATAGAAATTCCTTGCAATATCGTGGCAGATTAATCTGTGATAGTAATATCGGTCCATATGTTGAATTGGAATTTCGTCAGTCTATGCTGTTGCCATTCTGATATGGACGAACAGATTCAACAGGTCTATTTTAACTCCGACTGACTGCAAGCTAGAAGGTTATTATGCATTCGGCAAACCTCAGCAGATTCCAGTACTCTACATCTAACCTCGGCTGTATGACGAAGTCCGCCAATGGAACTACTTTCGAGTTTCCGAATGACCGACGGCGTTGCCCATGTCCACGCTTTTGAAGAATGTTTTATCATACAAATATTTCAAAGTCTGAAACTGTTTTTCTTTCAAGTTTATCCGATTTTCTTCAAACAAGGACATCTTTGCACTGAAATTTCTACACAGGCTTTGAACGACGCAATTTTTTAAAAGCGGCAAGTTTTCTTAATAAGTAAACCGGTGCCGTATCGCAATTGTATAGGCGTAGGTACATATCACTTACCGTCATACAGCCGAGGCTAGATGTAGACTAACGGAATCTGCCGAGGTTTGCCGAGTGGGTTATTATGTAGCGTCACACTGATCCGCAGTGAATATTCGCTAGGCCGCTACAATCATCGATGTGACTTAATGAGCCAAAAATATTAACTTTTTCCCCCCCGACAAATTAAATTCTAAAAAATTAATAAAGACGTTTGAAGTATTTGTACGTAAAAATTATTTCCTATTTAGTGTAAATGGGTATTAAAATGAGTAAAACCAGTAGCGTCTTATGTAAACAATGTGGGCGCCTTTGAGCCAATGATTGACGCCGCGTGATGTGACGTACGTGTTGAAGGCCGTCATCTTTTACAGAGATATTAGAAGACTTTCGTAATCCTCTGTGAAACAGATTGGTGTAGCGTGTTTCTTAATTAAATAAACTAAGCACAGATTAAAGATACATTATGTAAGATTTAGATAAAGAACTGACCATTCTCGCTATAATCTTTCAAAAATAGATAATGCAAAATGAATATATCCAAAATTTCATTCAAATTACTTTATTTGGAGCGAAGTTATCAATGGTTGTAGTTTTGAGAAGGTGTGTGCATTGATCGTTACCACCGTACTGGTTATTCGAGTCTTTGGCTCGCTTCTCCATTTTTAAATGAAATCATTAAATGACCGAACCGTTATAATCATTAGGGACTATATGGTTGCGCGTAGGGGTTTTTAGCAGTGAAAGGAAACCGGAAAAAACCTAAGAGGTTGGACAGGCGACCCTACTCCCTGTTACGTACACGCCACATGACTGAATGACAGACTTTCTGATCCAACGCGCACGCATTAACCATTCACCCCCCCCCCCCCAAATTTTAACGTCAGCTGTTTATCAGAATTGGGTTGAGCAACGTGGTGCACAATAAAGCTTCGTTTCGTGTCGATATTTAAAATAGCACTAATATTATTGTCTAAAAACCCATATTTCATACCAGACAGACATTTAGTGTGCTATAAATCTTTACTTTGAGACTACTTCGTGACTTTCCCGTGATTGCCGTTTTGGTGTCAGAAATAGAGTTAAGACCCTTGTGATTGACAGTAGCGTGTCGCTTTCTGGCGGAAATAAACTGGTAGTAAGCTTTTCCCTCCCCTCGTCAGTGATGCAGGACGGAGGGCCTGACAAGGACAGCTGTCTAGTCGTTCGGATGGGACGAAAAACCGAGGCCATGTGTACACATTGGCGTGCACGTAAAAGATCCCTTGACAGTTGGAATTCGATATAGGAGTAGACCATAGTGCCGCTGTCCGGGCAAAACTTCCCTCATAGCACACTGTATGGCGTATGTCCGTCTTCATTAGCCCAATTCGGAGCAGAACAGTAGGACGTTAAACCTCATTTCATTTCATTTCATTTCATTGTCCCATAAAGGATGTTAAACACCTATTTCATTTATTTAAATAAAACAAAAACAAATAAAAGAAAGGTATTTAATAGCCATTTATCCTTGTCAAGGTGTGGAGAACATTTGTGACGTGGCTGGTGGTGAAAAAAAGAATTATACAATGCGCCCTATATTCATGTCAACTTTATAAAATAGTTTAGGAAAACAATTGGACACATTTGACGAGTTGATGTCACATGACGTTTAGGTGGAATGTAAAAGACCTTCTTGATTGACAAGTTGTCGAAAAGGAAAAAAAAGAACAAATTTTCACTTGATCAATCAAAATGTTTGTATGTATATATGACACTCATCATTGAGAGAGTTGACATCGGTACGAGTTAATTACCAAACTGATCAGCTGTGAATATTCGCTTGGTCGCTAAAATTACTGAGAGAGAGAGAGAGAGAGAGAGAGAGATGGGGTTTAACGTCCACTCGACACAAACTAGGTCATTTCGGGACTAACGTATGGTTTAATTTTATTTCAATAATTCGCTTGCGCATAGGGGTCTTTAGCAGTGGGAGGAAACTGGAGGACCCGGAGAAAACCCACGAGGTTGGACAGGCGACCCTACTCCTTGTCACGTACAACCGGGGAAACGAAACCCCGCCAGTTGACTCAATGACAGACCGGATGATACAGCGCGCGCGTGGTAACCATTCGGCCATCCACCCCCCCCCCCCCTGACAGGGATGAAATCGGTGCGAGTTAATTAGCTCTGAATAGTAACAAAATCCCTATTATATCCGCAGGGGTTTTAAAGTTCCCCAAATCACCACTAAATGAATTTTATTGGTAGCTTGTGTTGTCAACAGAGAGAGATGGGGTTTAACGTCCACTCGACACAAAGTAGGTCATTTCGGGACTAACGTATGGTTTAATTTTATTTCAATAATTCGCTTGCGCATAGGGGTCTTTAGCAGTGGGAGGAAACTGGAGGACCCGGAGAAAACCCACGAGGTTGGACAGGCGACCTTACTCCTTGTCACGTACAACCGGGGAATCGAAACCCCGCCAGTTGACTCAATGACAGACCGGATGATACAGCGCGCGCGTGGTAACCATTCGGCCATCCAACCCCCCCCCCCCCCTGACAGGGATGAAATCGGTGCGAGTTAATTAGCTCTGAATAGTAACAAAATCCCTATTATATCCGCAGGGGTTTTAAAGTTCCCCCAAATCACCACTAAACGAATTTTATTGGTAGCTTGTGTTGTCAACATCGGCTACAAAGAAAATCTATTAGACGTGCGGAAACCTAAGAGGTCACGTGATGAAGTATTGCAAATAACACGTGTGACTACGTTCATTGAGGAAACTGGTACAGCGATCCTCATTTTGGGTGGTAGGTCCAGTCCACGAGTCCTGTATTTCAGTCAAACCCGTGGAGATTGGTACAAGTAGAATGGATAGTTGTTGATAATTTGTGAGATAGAAATTAAATGAAATTGGGTTTAACGTCTTACGGTGCTCCTCCGATTGGGCTAATGAAGATGTACGATGAGGGAAATTGTGCCCGGACAGCGGCAATACGGCCTACTCTTATATCTAACTGCCAAGGGATCTTTTATGTGCACGCCTATGTGCACACGGGGACCTCGACTTTTTCGCCCAACATCCAAACGACTATACTCTTATATCTAACTCCCAAGGAATCTTTTACGTGCACGCCTATGTGCACTCGGGTCCTCGGCTTTTTTTCACCACCACATCCAAACGACTATACATTGAGACTATACTTTGAACGGAATAAAATGTCCCGAAATGAAATAAATAGCAATTAGTTCCACTGAAGTTAATGAGTCAATTTTGTGTTTCAGACGACAACAAGTGTGAAAAAGGCGTCAGTGATGATGGATAGGGGTGATCCATGATGTTGTGGAAGATCAACGGAGCTGTGTTTTGCCAAATGTAACCCAAAAATTAATGGATAGGGTTAACCTATATGTGTATCTGTATTGTTAACTGTTTATGTCCAAGAAATCCTACAATAATTGTATAAATTATAAAGCATAGGGGTTCATATATAATTTTGCAACTTCTTCAAGGACGACCATCTTGGCATCCCCACCCATCCTCTACTGGATGCCTGAGTGGGAATAAAATGAAACGGGGTTTTAATGCCCTACCATTCTGCACCAACTGGGCTAATCAAGACAGACATCAAGTAATGTGTTACGTGGGGAGGGGGGATTTTTTCCAGGGCAGCGGCATTTCCGCCTGTTCTATTTCGAATTCGATTTGTCACTGAGTCATGTTACCTGTTTTCAATGGAAGGTTCGAACCGAGGATTGTACGCGTGACTTTTCTCGACGCATTCAGAACTTTAATTAATTGTTTGAATAGACATTGGCATGTAAACCAAAACAGAGCCGTTGAAATAAAATAAAGATATTGATAAATAAGAATAATAAATGTCCATTTAAACTAAACCATTTCTATAGCGCCAAAACTCCACAGAACTTATACTTGTTGCGCTTCAAATATGGTGACAAATTTAGATCACCGGTAGTTTTAAAGTATCCAGTCGTCATCTGAGGGATTGTGAAATCTCGAAAAAAAAATATCAGTCCAATAATGATTCCATTCTATAATTTCGCAACATTCTGCATCTTATGCCTAGCCCACATTCCGCCGTACGTGCTACTACGGGGGAGATTTTAGTATAGTAAACTCGTGCGTGAGATTTACGCGTTACCCGCGTGTGTTCGGCAGCGTAAAGATCGCAGACTGGCCGTAGAGACTTTTGGTCCTGCACCCGGTTTCTTGCGGCTGGTCTGCGAACTACCAAACCCTATGACCCGTGCGGGTCGAACCGCGTACGGTGGTTTGTGGGCTAGGCTTTATGCCACGCAAAAGTTCTGTGTAAAATATTTGGACTGGCCTCTGTTTAATTCGAATTGTCCAGAAAATGCGAATTAAATCAACGGCGTTAATTTTAATGATTTTTTTGACGAACCCATGTGCTTTTATCTTTACACTTGTCTTAAAACATTTATGATTGCTTTATCCTTTTTATCTGTGTATAATTAAATTACGATTAAAATTTCGTTCCGGGTGTTATTTCTGATGTGTATTATACATTTTAATGTAACCTACCTTCTCTCACAATTATAGTATACTAGCAAGAGATCCACATACAATCTGATTAAAATACATCTATATTTCGTTTCGTTTTATTATACTTTCGGCGGCTTCAATACATGAAGGGGGCACTCGATTGAACGTTCCGGAATTAAATTCTCTCAATTCCAAAAATAATGTCAATCGAGTGAAAAGGAGAATTTCAGAGTACAGCGCATGTGCCGACTGCATAAAAAATATCTCAACCATCTCAACCAATCATGACAGCTGAAAGATATTTGTTACTTAAAATACGTCACGATTCTACTTCACACCACCTCGGTTTTTGGGACTGGCAGAACTGTGACAGGGCTGAATTCCGTATCACTTGATTGCAATTCTGTCAAATCGGGACTTTCAGGACTGACAATCGAGCACCGCCTAAGTAAAGACAAGTAAAACGAAAGTTTGAATTATACAAAAACCGAAACGAAATAGGATCTGTGTTTTAATCAGATTGATCTACATACGAAAAGTCAATGATATTCTAACACACTTTCTGTCAGTGACAGTTCTATATTCGTATAGTAGTTCGGAAGAGACGAAAAACCGAGGTCCCGTGTACACATTGGCATGCACTTGAAAGAACCTTGACAGTTGGAATTCGAGACAAGAGTAGACCATAATACACTGCATTATTACCGTCTTCATTATCCCAGTCGGCGCAGAAGAGTGGGACGTTAAACCCCATTTCATTTCATTTCTTTGTATATCAACCTGTCATAATATTATAACTGGAAACTGTTTAACGACCAGTTCAATTGGTTTGGGTTAAATTTACTACTGCTGCCCTACAGTAAGGCGCCAAAATATCATTTGACATAAAAACCAGCAGCTTCCCTGAATACGTAAAAAAATATATAGAAAATATTTATTCTTGATTCCATAATATTTTCAGAAATTCTATAAATTCTTATTTTCTGCTTTTGAAATAGGTTATATTATTACAGTGGATAGCCCCCTTTTAAATATTCGTATTGTAATATAATCAAAAATGAAGCTATTGTACTAAAAACGGAATTATAAATGGTGTAAAAATTTCATTTGTTAAAAGGTTGTGATTTATTTCTTTATTTCAGTTGGCACTCACCACTGTTCTTGTTGGTTTTTTTAATACAAATGGACGCACAATACACAATCTGATTGATTAAAATACAGATCTATATTTCGTTTCGTTTTTTATACTTTCGATAAAAAAACCGAAACGAAATAAGACATGTGTTTTAATCAGATTGCCCACTACATTATGGGCAGGTTGATTTAAAGATGCATTATGTAAGAGCTAAATCTGCCTATTGCTGGTCTTTATTTTGGCTTCAAATGTTATATAAACTATTATTTAGATACATATTCACATGCCAAGCCTATAATCAACTCTTTAGATAATCGGATGGTCGAGATTTTGAATGGATTGAAATACGATCGCCATTAAGAGGCTTGCCACGTTAATAAATAATCTCTGTCACATCTTTAATTTGAATGAAATTTTCAATATATTAATTTTGCATTATCTGTTTTGGAATTATTATAACAATATTTCATTATGCATCTTTAAAAATCCGAGTCCGCCAGGATAGCGAGCGAGCATCTAACTGGTTCTACTCCACTAACCATTGGGTCGATCCACGGGGTTTTCACGAATTCAAATTATCTGCCCTTGATGTAACTTGATTCTACTAATCAATCAAAAACAGTTCACATACCAGTCTTGGCGTCATTGTTTACGTTCACTACAATAATCTTTGTTGCAATGAAATGCGAGTTACTTCCCTTCGCCCACTCGATTGGTAGATAAAAATATCAGAAGTATCAAGGGCGGATAATTTGATTTTGTGTGGATGGACCCAGGGGTTAGTGGAGTAGCGCGGAACGATACCACTGTGGATACCGAGAATGATCAGACATTTAATTGCAACAAAGAAATGAAATGAAATGGAGTTCAACGTCTTACTGTTCTGCTCCTATACTGGGCTAACGAAGACGGGCATACGCCATACAGTGTGCTATGAGGGAAATTTTGCCCGGGCAGCGGCACTATCGCCTACTCTTATATCGAATTCCAACTGCCAGGGGATCATTTACGTGCATTCCAATATATACACGGGACCTCGGTTTTTCGTCTCATTCGAAGGACTAGACAGCTGTCCTTGTCAGGCCCTCCGCCCTGCATCACTGACAAGGGGGAAACACGCCGGAAAATCTGGATGAACTTTCTCGGCCAATGCAACAAAGAAAATAAATTTAGTGTAGATCAGAAATCCAATATTCGATAGCATTCTTCGATTCACTGAGTTGAACAAAGCGTATACATTTCAATCAGATCTGATAAATGTTGCCTCTATAGAGTTCGCAAGATGTTTTAAAATTAACCCTAGTAGGCCATCTTTGACATAAACGTCTAAACGTCACATTGATTTTAGGCGGGTTGGGGACAGGGTCAATAACATGAATTCAATTATTTTAGCACTTAAGCCCAAAGTGACACCATTGTCACACGTGTAGGACCATCTAGAGTTAGTTTGATGAACTAACAAGAGCACGCCACCCTTTCCAAAATGGCAACTATTAATTTTAGGAAATAATTGTAGGCATGGAAAATACCTTGGGGTTCAAGCGGGTAAACAAGGGTGATAACTCTAGAAGTAATCTCCCCGGTTGCTGCTAATCTGTGTCTCTAATCTGTACAATGCACATACGTTTCAAGCAGATGGGATGATACTAGGGCACTCGCAAGATCCGTTACACTAATCTGAATAATGCATATATATATAGAGAGAAATGGGGTTTAACGCCTACTCGACATAAGTTTCAATTTTATATCATTAATATATTTGCTTGTGCGTAGGGGTCTTTAGTCTGTGGGAAAAACCCGGGAACCTGGAGAAAGCCCACAAGGTTGGACAGACGAACTACTTCATGTTACGTATGTGGTCTAACGCGCAAGCCTTAAACCATTTGACCACCCAACCCCCATTAATAATGGATATAACTTTTGTCATCCAATAGTACCCGCTATTCCGCAAAGTGAACAACGGCCAATACTTATAAATTGTTGAAATTCGAAAGGCTTTTGTGTCTCACACATCTGAATAATGTAAATAAATTCGAAATAGATCATATAAGAATTGTGTTAGCACGTTCACCAGGTTCTTCAAGTAATCAAGGGCAATAACTTTGTAAGTTATTATCAAAAATACATCCAATCCAATACAGTAATATAAGCAACTTGTGTCAATATTTAAAAAAATATGTGGTAATAAATGTGGTTTGTAGAGTGTTTACACTGTACTGGGTGACCGTGGCTGGAGCTTCGCCTAGTATCCCTAAAATCAGCTACAGACAAACGTACGCCACATCAAACCAATAAAGCATGTTACATACATGGGGGTTAGATGGACGAATGCATAGTGCATGTGCGTTGTATCATAAGGTCTGTCACTGAGTCAACTGGCGAGGGTTCGATTCCCCGATTGTATGTAACAAAGAGGGTCACCTGACCAACCTCGTGGGTTTTCTCCGGTTCCTCCGGTTTCCTCCAACTGCTAAAGACCCCTACGAGCAAGGGTATTATTGAAATACAATTGAACCATGTGTTAGTCCCGAAATGACCTAGTTTGTGTCGAGTGGACGTTAAACTCCATTTCTTTCGTAACCATTGACATGATAAATACCATACGTTAATTTCAAAATGTCCAACCTCCTGGGTTTTCTCCGGTTTCCTCCAACTGTCAAAGATCCCAATGCACACTATGTTAGTCCTGAAATGACCTAGTCTTTGTTGAGCGAATGTTAACCCATATCTCTCTCTCTCTCTCTCTCTCTCCTACTACCAATAAAAGACGGCGGTCTCTTGTTTACACTCGATCAACATAGATCGATAAAGATACAATTTATCATAACTTTGCAACTACTGAGCGGACCTGAACCATATTCCGACTGATATTCCCATTAGAGTTTCAACTTCCACATTATGGTAGTTTGCAAGGGATTCCTATACCGCCAAATGACGTATCGAGTCTTCAACAAGTCTATTATAGTATTTACACACCTCCAAACTATGTTATAATAACAATTATTCATATTTAATGGATTTCTAGGTCATATAAAAAAAAGCATATTTTTTTCAATTAAAAATAAGTTTTTAGGTTGTACATTATGACGTAATGAACCTGTAGATGATAGGCCTATGTCTTTTAATAGTTCTTAATTTTGTATTATATGTAATAGACGTATTTTAGATATTGTGTAATTTTAAATATAGTGTAATTTTGAATATCATGTAATAAAAGTATTTTGAATATTGTGTAATTTTGAATATCATGTAACAAAGGTATTTTAATACCTGTGACAGTTCATATTGATTTGGAACAGTTTCTATATACAAACATATGCTAATTTGTATGATTAGTAATGCCACCGATGTCCATCCATCAGTCCGACCTTGTTTAGTAACACCACCCGTGTCCATCCATCAGTCCGACCTTGTTTAGTAACACCACCCTTGTCCATCCATCAGTCCGACCTTGTTTAGTAACACCACCCTTGTCCATCCATTCGTCCACTGTGTTTAGTAACACCACCCTTGTCCATCCATTCGTCCTACTGTGTTTAGAAACACCACCCTTGTCCATTCATTCGTCCTACTATGTTAAGTAACACCACCCTTGTCCATCCATTCGTCCTACTGTGTTTAGTAACACCACCACTTAAGAACACTTCGGTAGAGTTAAAATAATTCAAGAATATGAGATCAAAATGTTGCCGTGGATAGTCGTTGAACTCAGCCGAATCTAGAATCTATATAATGCAAAGAAGCACATTTTGCTATACATTTTAATTCTATATGTAATCTGATAAACCAAATGCAAACGATTTTTGTCAAATATTTGTCCCAATTTCAAATAAGGGGTTTCCATATATCCCTTTAGAAATTCTAAACTGGGGCGCAAAGCACCAGATGTTACGTATTACATTGGTCCCAGGAACCGAGCCACATCAGATACCGAAGTGGGCTGAATCTTTTTCTACTGGAGGCAGACTACCATTAAATTTCAGCATCTCGGTACCCAATTGTAGTTCGTCTATTTGTAGCAATTCTCTCTCTCTCTCTCTCTCTCTCTCCCTCTCTTTTCTCCCCTTTTACATGCCCATTTTTGTTGATTTTTTGGTCTAGAATGGACGAAGAGGGTTTGAATTAACATTTTCTGCCAGGTTTTGGTAAATATTTATGATTTTGAGGCGGAAGGATAACGGGGTTATCAGGTTGGCTACGGCGATATGTACGGCAACTAGTTACATGTTTTTAGTATGCTTCTTCAAGTTTGTGTATCTCAAAATTTTGGTGGTCAACCTCATACAATTTTTAATGCAAAGACATGACCATTTGTTCCTCTGTCTGTAGTGAAAAGCATTCAGCCCAACGAAAATTTGGAGAAAAGTTGGAGGTGGGCAAAGGGGCCAGAATTAACATTGAAGTCAATGTGAAATTTTAATTAAAATGGTGGTCTGCCTCCTACTCTTTAAATGAAGTTGTCTCCCATGTTTGATAAAAACAAGGACGGCCACTCTACCTCCAAAATGGCCGAACCCAAAGAAATTTTGACAGCAATGATTCCTGTTGTGATGGATTTCTTAGATATTGACTTGGATGATGTGTTATTTTCAGACGTTTTATCAGATTCGCAAATAGGCGATGTCGTGACAGCGGTTGTAGTGAACCATTATCAAAACAAAGTGCAAAGTACAGCAGAACCGAATGACAAAACAAGCGATGAAGACGATAAAATCGAAAGTAGCGATGACAGTGTTCGCGTTGACAGTGATCCATGTGTGGCATTACCATCCAGTTTGCCCAATGGTTGGTCTGTTTTGCCGCCAGATAAATTTAGAGCTATTTATAGAATTTCGTCGCCTGTATTTGAACAATTTCTTAAATTATTTATTGATAAATTAGTTCCGCTTGCAATTCCAACGTCAACGAAAGTCACCACGGGAAAAAATGACATTGTCATTAGAGACGAACTCAAACTTTTGATTATGCTAGAATATCTTGGATCCAATTTACCAATAAGTAAATTATCTCAGAAATACAACTTATCAGAGAGCGCGATACTGGAAGCTGTAACCATAGCAATATCTGTGATATATCAAAATATGTTTTTATTTATTCGATGGCCGAAGCCAGAGGAGATTTGTGATTCGGCTCTATGCAACCCGCTAGAACAGCCAGGATTTTCAAACTGTATTGGTGCGATAGACATTTGTCAGGTTCGCATCAAAACACCTCAAGACAATGAATCATTTTATATGAATAAAACAGGAAAATCTTCAGTAGCATTACAGGTACACGTATATGGATGTATTATAAATTGGCTATCAATCATGATGGTTGACCTGCCATACATAGGCCTACTTATACTGATATCTAGGTCATTTACATCTCCTTGAGATATTCATCAATTTTTTCTATTTATCTGTTGTTGTTTTTTTTTTGTTTTTTTAAATTTCAGGCTACTTGTTACCGCATGGAGGGGGGAAGGAAGGCTTTTTACAACTCCTTGTGATATATTTATACATTTTTAAAAAAAAATGATCTGGGCTTTAATTGTTGGTTTTTTTTTCATTTCAGGCTGTCTCAGTTCTGGGACCATAAGGGGTTGTGTGTGTGTGTGTGTGTGTGGGGGGGGGGTCCCTGGCATGTACATCATTTAGTAAGGAGTTGTTCATCACATTTTTTCAAATTTCATTTCAGGCCGTCTGTGACCACAAGATGAACTTTCTACATTGCTGTACAGGTTGGCCAGGATTAATGGCAGACATGGCTGTATTAAAAGACTCTGACATCTTTGAGGATGTCCAGAAAGATACAAACCGTTATTTCCCAAATGGAACATTTTTAATAGGCGATCTCGCGTATCCTTTGTTGGATTGGATCATGACCCCTTACGAGGAAACGCCAGACGACAGTTACTTAAAATACAACCACGTTCATTCCCAGATTCTTGATTTAATTACTCAGACTTTCCAGAGACTCAAAACCAGATTTCCGAGACTCAATTATGTGGAGAATGGTAAGATGGAGGAGGTTGTGAAAATTGTATTAGTGTGTTGTGCTCTGCATAACTTTTGTCAGAATGCGGGTGATGTCATGGAGGGGGAGACAACTCCGATCGAACCTCATGTTTCCATAGATACATTTGTTACAGAAGCTGAATGTTTACTCCCAGTGGAGGAAAGTTCCGTTATTAAAAGAGACGAAATCAGAGACATTATTAATTCTTCTGATTCAATTCTAGTTGTTCACAAAGAGGATGACGTCTCGTGATTAAATGAAATGGGGTTTAACATCCTACATTTTGCACCAAATGGGGTTTGAAGACCATTTGACGCAAACTAGATCATTTCAGGACTAACATGGTTTAATTTTATATCGATAGTTCGCTTGCTTGTAGGGGTCTTTAACAGTGGGAGGAAACCGAAGGACCTGGAGAAAACCCACAAGGTTGGATAAGCAACCCTACTCCTTGTCAGGTTCACGTGGGAATCAAAACCACGCTACATGACTCAATGACAGACCACTCAACCTCCCATGCCCAATAGTGTCCAGACTCTTACATGTATTTTGAAATTCCAACTGTCAAGGGTTCTTTTACGTGAATGCCATCACGTTTCAGTCCCTTCTGGGTTTGCTCCCAGTGTTGACTAAGAAAGTTCAGTGCAATGTGGACAGATATTTTTCCAGGGTCACATGTACAAGTTCGCGTGCACGTGAAAGAACCCTGACAGTTGGAATTCGATGGATAGACGGCAGTAGCCCCACTGCCCTGACAAGATTTCCCTTAGAGTACACTACATGGTATATGTCTCTGTCTTCCTTAGCCCAGTTCTGAGTTGGTGCAGAACCCCATTTCATTTCAATCCATCGACACACTGATTCGATCTTACAGATTTGGGATCATTTGTTTCTCGTTAAAGTGTCAGAGGATCTTCTCTAAACAGGTAGATTTGGGACTAAAACCTCAAGGATTGGAGTACAGCTATGCCTCTTAACTTATAATAAAATTACTTAAAATTTTACACAGCTAATTGAATATATTTATTTAATTTGAATATGCACATTTAAATATAGATAAAATAATTTCTACAGATATAAAAAAGACAAGTTTGAAATATAAAAAAATAAAAGAAATAAATGTGATAGTTATTGTATAATCTTCCAGCAGTGTAAAGATTGAGACAGAAAATCATTTTATTGCATTCCCCCGTCTACAAGTACAAGTATATTCTAATGAATCATCCCTCCTCTCTATAGATTATTTCTAACCTCGTGGGTTTTCTCCAGGTATTCCGGTTTCCTCCCACTGCTAAATAAAATTGAGCCATATGTTAGTCCCGAAATGTAATGACATGAAATGGGGGTTAACGTCCTATTGTTCTGGTGACATGAAGACGGGCATACGCCATAGAGTGTGCTATGAGGCAAATTTTGCCTGGACAGCGTCACTGCGGCCTACTCTTATATCGAATTCCAACTGTCAAGGGATCTTTTACGTGTACAAATTGGACCTTGGTTTTTCGTTCCATCCGAATGACTAGACAGCTGTCCTTGTCAGGACCTGCGTCCTACATCTCTGACAAGGGGGAACCACACCGGAAAGTCTGGATGAACTTTCTAGGTCAATGCGGGGATGAACACCTGACTTCCAGGCTAGCGAGCCAGCACCTCACCCACTTAGCCACCATGAATGGATATTAAACCCCATTTCTGTCTCTCTCTATTATCAAACTAATATCAGAGATCCATTTTGGATACTATTAAAGCAGCCTTGAGTCTGCAAGCCGTAGATATTTGTTGTTGTTTATAATCAGTCTTTACTCATTCCTATTGTTTATAATATGTCTTGGGGGTCACGGTGTCTTAGTGGTTGGGTGGCTCGCAAGCCTGGTGTTCGATCCCTGCATTGGCCGAGAAAAGTCATCCAGATTTTCCGGCGTGGTTCCCCATTGTCAGTGATGCAGGATAGAGGGCCTGACAAGTACAGCTGTCTAGTACTAATGGGCATTGTTACTTTAATTAAGAAATCCTATCAGCTCTGGTATTAGCGATTTTTAAAAAAAGATCTCACTGTTTTTCTCTTTATGAGGTCGCTCATCGTAAATAAACCTTACACGCAGATACGTTTGGGTATGTATCAATACGATTAACAAGACTGCTACAACTGACCTCAATATATGATATGACCTGATAGGATCACCATGATTACTCAATGATTAAAGATACATGTACATTATGGGAGATTAGATAAAGAGCTGGCAGTTCTCACTATAATAGTTAAAAACTAGATAATGTAAAGGGTTTTGCTGAAAATTTCAGTTAAATTGATCCACTCTGAACCGAGATTTTACCGATTGAATTTTAGGCCTAGCCTCGATCATTATTACTAATATTGGTACGATAAAATACATAGTCTCGATTATCCATTTAATGATTAAATCATGAATGGAACTGGAACAGTAAATCGGCTCATAATCCACTAAAGATCGCAGGCTAGCGATGCCATCTAGAGTTGAATATGGTCTGGATAAGTTAATTCATAATTTAGATAACATTTCAGGCCAGGCCTAAAGAAAGACCTGCAATAGGAAGATTTAGCCCTTGCAGAATGTATGTTTAAAACCAAGATTTCAATCGCGCGAATCCTGATAGTGGGAACCTAGCATAATTAAGAGTTTTAGTGTTTTCAAATTTTGTATTTGAAAAATATGAAGGTTTGTAAGGATTCTTTAAAATAATAGATGATTACAAGGCAGTATGCTTTAACTCTATGGAAAGTGGTGACTCAGCGAGTAAGATGTTGGCTCACTAATCAAGATGTCTAGTGTTCAATCCCTGTGTATGCCGAGAAAGTTAGTCTGGATTATCAGGCGCAGTTCCCCCTTGTCAGTGGCGCAGGACGGACAGAGGGCCTGGCATGAGATAACGTATAGTCGTTCGGATAGGACTGAAAACTCATTGCACACTGTATAGCATATGCCCATCTTCATTAGCTCAGTCGGCACAGAACAGTAGGACGTTAAACCCCATTTAATTTCATTTGTTTTTTTTTTATAAATAATAACAATATTTCAACTTTAACAAAGATAGAATATGGCCACGAGTTCACAACGCATTCTCAGGAATTTACTCAACTTTCAATCACTGTTTATGAGAAATATCTTTGATCCAGAAACATAAAACTCTGCACATTGTGTCTTATTATGTATTTGATACATTAAAACAACAAAAGTTTTATAAAGGGCTATACTTTAGTTAAAATAAGGTGAACAATTTTGAGTAAATTCTTAAAGATGGGTTCCTGCGTACAAACTGGGTGATTTAATGGTATATATGGACTAAAACATATTCAAACTAATTAATTTGTCATAACTTTGCTTCAAATCCTTCTCAAACATTGTAATTGCGAAGGAATGTCCTGCTATAAAAATTCGATCAAACCAGGTCATGTTTACGTCACGTGACTTACTTCACTTGGAAGTCAGAGGAGAATTCATTGCATACATAAGACGATGTTGTCTTTAATCGCTCAATATTTATTACAAATATCGAATCCTAATTAAATTCTCGGATTATCCACTACCCGCGTCTTTTTTATCTCAGAAAGTGTTGTACGTCTAACTCTTCATAAAGTTTATCAACTTGTACATCAAGCAATCAATGTTCGCGTTTGACCTTTGACATCACACGTGCAGAAATTCCTAATCGTCGGGCTATTGATTAGGGGAACCCTTACATTTTTGTCCTGTATACGCTCCAGTATTTTTCTAATAAGATTGGATATCTCTACTTTCCATATATACCAAAATTACCATACCTTTATTGGAAATAACCACCCAATAAATACTTTTCTGGGAACCCATCTTTAAGTCTGACAATGCTCTGTGAACTCGGGGCCTGGTTTGTTTTATAAGATAATAAGAATATTTGCTACTTTAAGACATTTATAACAAGATAAGATGATACAAATATAAAAATATTCATTTAAAACAATCTAAACAAGAATTCAAAATATTCGCTTCCCTTGATTGACACTATTATTATACAATCCGTCTGATTAAAATACAGATCTATATTTCGTTTCGTTTTTTTTTATATTTCCGATGGCCTACACTACATGAAGATCTTACCGGTTATAGTAGAAGGTCGCGTCAGAGGTCGTATGAGCGGCTTTTTACTCTATGGCGTCAGGCATTGATTAATCAATCAGCGTTGACGTTTCTAGTGGTTTACCCACAGTTCCGTGCATCGCACGCCAAGAAGTCACCGTAACAGATGGTTTCATTGGTTAATCTCTCACGCCATCCAGAATCCTAGTGTAGTAAATTGATATACATTGCACTCAAAGAGGTCATTAAACAAGTTAATAAATAAAGATAATTTTGTGGTCCGATATGTGACTTAAGCTACCTTGTTACCTCTTGTAAATCCCTTGGCAGTTGGAATTCGATATAAGAGTAGGCCGTAGTGCCGCTGTCCGGGCAAAATTTCCCTCATAGCACACTGTATGGCGTATGCCCGTCTTCATTAGCCCAGGTTAGGAGCAGGACAGTAGGACGTTAAACTCCATTTCATTTCATTTCATTACCTCTTGTAAATGCTTTGTTAAAAAATGACAGGAAACCCCACCCTCACCAAATACAGCTAGGCCTATTTATAGTAACAAGACGAGATCCATCCTTAACATAAAGAGCATGATGAAAAAGCCAAAAACCTATTAAAAAAAATTCTCAAAATAATCAAACATTAACAAATCCATGCATTTATATAAAAATGATCAAATAATATTCTAGTGTCCCTATTTTAGTGTAAATAGAAAAACCCATGTGCCCTGTTTCCAGCGAGCTTCGTCATCCAAAATCAATGTCCTGTCAGTTCTATTGGTGCTTATACGGTGCATAGAGGGGTTGATACCCCCCACCCATTCCACCCATCACCATGGTTTCTGTTGTCAGGGGATGTAGGGTTGTATAGGAAGGGTTCATCTGTACCATGCCGGGTGAAGGACTCATCGATTGAGCCATAGGAGGGGTGGGTGTGACCGAGTGTGTTATGGGCGGAGTCATCCTGGAGGAGTGACTCAAAGGAGGTGTCATTGAGTTGTTAGATTGTGTTAGAGGCGGAGTCATGGCATGAACATGGGTGTTGCTAGCGTGTGCTATATGACCTTGAGGGAGTGGGGGTGGCTGTGTTGTCATGGTGTTGTTATGGCTGATGATATTGACAAGGTTGTGCTGTTGGGTGAAATGTTGAATCATGTGCTGATTGTGCTCCGAGCTGGGAATCTGACTATTGACAAGCAGCGTGCTCTGTGGTAGATGACTTTGCATGGTTGTCGAAGGCGACTGAAAGAGATCAAGCTGACTGTAGTTCAATGTGGACATCTGCTGTTGGGGATCTTGGTTCGTCTGGGGATGCTGTTCTTGAGAAACTGGGTTGGTGCTGTATCTTGGTTTCGCTTCCGTCGGCATTTTGATGACACTCTCGGTTAACGGGACTCCGTCAGGATTAAAAACCTCAATAATAAAGTTTTCAATGTTCTCCGATCCGATATCCTTTCCATGACTCTTGACATGTGTGCGCATGTTGTCAGCGCGCGTTCCGATTTTATTACACAATTTACAAACAAAATGTTTGTGTGGATTGTGGATCGTTCGTATGTGTTTCGAAAGTCCGCCCTTGTCCGGAAAACAGCTTCCGCAAGTTGGACAAATAAAACTTTTCTCAGCTGTGTGTCTCCTTTCATGGGCCTTGCAACAGTTTTTCGTCTTGAAAGCTTTTCCACAAAGTTTACACAAAAAGGGCGTTTCCAATTTGTGGGTGTACTGATGGGTGTAGAGTGACGACATACATTTAAAAGATTTACCGCAGGTGTCACATCCAAATGGCCGTCCGTCCTGATGCACGTACTTGTGAGCCTCGAGATTCGATTTGAACATAAATTGTCGTCCGCAGATGTCGCACATGAAACGACTGACATCACTCGTGTGACGTCTCTTGTGTACATTGAGTAACATTTCTGATTTATAGAATTTGCTGCAGATATCACATTTGAAATTCTTGGCGGTCACATGATAGGATTGTTCGTGGGTTCTAAGAGCTTGACGACTAACGAAACCTTTCTGGCACAAGGGGCAGGTGTGTGGTCTCTCCCCAGAGTGAATCATCTGATGAGTCCGCAAACTGTTCTGATAATTGAAGGTTTTGCCACAGACGGTACAAACGAATTTACTTTTCTTGCCTTGGTTGTGAACTGCCGTACAATGGGCCTTGAGATGACTGGACGTAAGATACGATTTGTTGCAATGTTCGCATTTATACGGACGTTCTCCAGAGTGCTTCTGCTTGTGTAGTTTGTAACTGTGATGGAAGTTGAACGTCTGCCCACATTCTTCACACGAGTAGGGTTTCGTGTTGCCGTGGAGACCTCGTTGATGGTGGCACAATGAATCTAGAGTGGAGAAGGACTTCCCGCAGATATCACACTGGCATTTCTTCGTGTTGTGACGCCGGGCATGGCGGATGTAAGCTTTTCTGTTCGTGAATTGTTTATCACACTCGGTGCACTTTAAATCCGGAGTCACTGTCACGGCAATAGCTTCATTGGCTGCTTTAATCGCCAGCGCTTTGGTTTTCTCCTTCATCCGAATTTTTAGCGCCATTTTGGGCGTGGTTGTTAACCGGTTGAGTTTCGGGGTTTGTTTGGTTTTGATTTGTCGAGGTATGAAAGGGGCCGTGACGTTTGCACTACGTCTGGATTTCTTTGGCTTTGGAGGAGAGCTTTCTGGTGTTTTCTCAGTCGACAAGGACGGATCAGCTTCTGTGTCTATGTCCGTGCTGATTTCGGTGATATTTGATTCTAATATAGAGGGCGTCCTGGGTGTCGATTTCTTTGATTTGCGGGAAACTGGATTTTTCCGTTTTGAAGGAGTTTGGTGATCTGAATTGCTTTTAGATCTTGATCTTGTGGATGGTCCATGAGTTTGTTTTGATTTTGAAAATAGGATGCTGTCTTCAACAAAATTAGGATCATTTGCCTCATCATCTGTAAAGCCATCCAGAAAATTCTCATCCTCTTCTGAATCTTCTTTATAAACAACTGCAGCAGTTTGAGATTCTTTGGGTGGGGTTTTGGTCTTAGCTTTTGGAGTTTTGGTTTTCTTTTGGGGTTTTGATGATGGTTGTTTGGATTTTGTTTGATTTTTTGATTTTTCCAACGACATCCCGTATTCTTCTAACTGGTGTAGTAGGGTGTCCGCCGATTGATCTTGCTGAAATTTTTGTGCCAGATCTTGATAATGTTTTTCAACATGGAGAAGAAAGGCCATTCTGTCTTCAAAGACTTCCTCACACAAATAACATTTGCGAGCCTCCTGTATACTACTCTCGTCGATAGTTTTATTATTTAATGAAGTTGGGACTGGGAATGTCTCAGAGGCGTTTTCAGAATTTTGAGCAGGTACTTGTTTCGGTTGTAAATTTGTTGATTCTTCCACCGGGGACGTGTTAGTGACGCTGGTCGAAGTTGTTCTTGACGGAAACACTGGTGGATTAGAGGTTATTTGTAAATTTATCGGTGTCTGTGGTTCTAACTGGGATTCAGATCGTCTCTCAGAATCATTCTCCACGGTTTTGGGAAACATTGGACTGCCTGAAATGAAGTGAAAAGAATAATCAAGATATTATTTTTATTCTTTGCTAGAAACATTTTAAAAAGTCAAATTATTAATTATCTTCCATTATCACTAACGTCACATTTAACCATATTTAGAAAATAAGTGTCCCTATTTGATCACTTCCTGTCACGAGGTTAACCCCAAAATTAAAACCTTTTTAAAGGGAGGGGGGGGGGGTATTGTACATGTAAATCAATAAGCAATGATATAGCCCATTTAAATTTCAGAGAGAGAGAGAGAGAGAGAGAGAGAGAGAGAGAAAGAGAGAGAGATGTGGTTTAATATCCATTCGACACAAACCAGCCATTTTGGGACTAACATATGGTTCAATATTATTTCAATTATACCATTAACCAATATAAAAGACTTGTTAATCTAGCCAATGACCTATTATTCTCAAATGTTAACAACGCATCTATATTCGTAAAATATTTTTCTGGATGATAGAGACTACCCAGAGTTGGGGTTAGTGGAGTAGAACAGAACGATGCTCTGGGGATACTGAGAATGGATCTTTAAGCACTATTCTGAATTACAACACCAACTATTTCATTTTCTGGTACGTTTAATGCACCAACTTAGAAATTGAATAACATTTTTATTTTTCAGAATAAATTGATTTTGTTAAATGTTCGCAAGGGCCCAATATATATTTATATATATATATGCCACCAGACAGACTAATAATATCTGATTTATAGTTTCACATTATTTTTATAGAGCCTTTATCCATAAAATGTCATTTTGTAAAATGTTCCCAAGGGCCCAATTTTATATGGCATCAGACAAGCTAATAATATCTGGTTTTTAGTTTCACATTATTTATCCATAAAATGTCATTTCTGAGGTCACTTGTTTGACAAAATAAGTAATTTTTTTAAAACTAAATATAACTGGACACATTATTTCACAATTACCACATATTCAAAGATATATTATGGGAGATTAGATAAGGGCTAGCAGTTCTCACAATAATAGTTAAAAACTAGGTAATGTAAAGGGAATTTGCTAAAAATTTCAGTCAAATTGATCCACTCAGAACTGAGAATTTAGCCATTGAATTTTCGGCCTAGTGTGGATCATCATTACTAAAAAGTCAGTAGGATAAAAAAAATAGTCTCGATTATCCATTTCATGATTTAATCATGAATGAAAGTTAAGCAGCAAATCGGATCCTAATCCAGTAAAGATCGCAGGCTAGCGATGACATCGAGAGTTAATTATGGTCTGGATAAGTTAATTAATGTCTCATTAATAATTTAGATAACATTTCAGGCCTAAAGAAAGACCTGCAATAGGCAGATTTAGTTCTTGCATAATATATGTTTAAATATTGATGGGATTTGTGTTTATACTGGGAAGCTACATGTATCCTATAAACAATAGATGGCTGTTAAAAGGAACATGCCCAGCTGTCAAAATGTTACAGAATTTATTTAGAGAGATAAGTCTGTCAAACTCGAAACAAACTAGATCATTTTGGGACTAACATGGTTCAATTAGATTTCAATAAATGGCGTGCAGGGAGGGGCCTTTAGCGGTGTGAGGAGAGAGAGAGAGAGTGAGAGAAAGAAATGTGGACTAACATATTGATCAATTCTATTTCAATAATTTGCTTGCACAACCTTACTCCTTGTCACGTACAACGGGGGAATCGAAACCGCACCAGTTGACTCAATGACAGACCTTATGATGCAGCGCGCATGCGCTAACCATTCGGCCATCCCCCCCCCCCTCCCCAGCAGTGGGAGGAACTGGAGAAATGCAACAAGGATGGACAGACAACAAATTTTATAGAACTAGAGCCAGTGCCCGGTACAAGAGGCGCAAGGCCCATAATTTTCTTAAATATTCCCAAAAATTCCAAATTTCACCTCTAAGTGACACTACAACAAAGGAGCCATGCTGGCTAATTGGGTAAAACACTAGCTCACTAAAATGAAATGGGGTTTAACGTCCTACTGTTATGCTCCGACTGGGCTAATGAAGAGGGGCATACGCCATACAGTGTGCTTATGAGGGAAATTTGCCCGGACAGCGGCACTACGGCCTACTCTTATATCAAATTCCAACTGTCAAGGGATCTTTTACATGCACGCCAATGTGTATACGGGACCTCGGTTTTTCGTCCCATCTGAACGACTAGACAGCTGTCCTTGTCAGGCCCTCCGTACTCAATCTGAATCTGACTCACCTGTCATGGTATTGAGATTAACTGGTTCATTTCCGTCCTTGACAATGTCGCCATGGTTACTATCGTTATGGTCGATGGGTGGTTTCTGGGTAATCTGTGAAGCTGTGTACCTTCTCAGCAATTCTAACTGTCCAAGGGAGGTTACTCTGTCAATCATTGCTTGGTCAATATAGTTCGTTGGTGAAAAATCATAATTTAAAGCCGATTGGATGATTTGAGTACCAGATGTGTTCATTGGCTGAATTTGGCCAACGGGTGGGATACTCTCTAATGGTATTTCTTGCGATGTTGTCCCGTTATCATGGGGGTAGGTGTCGTTTATTTCGATGAATATTCTATCCTCACCATTGACAGTCAAAGTCAGTCTCCCTTTCAAAAGAAATTTCCGATATTTTGCATCTTCTTCACAGGCTCTCTCGGACTCCTCTTGAAAAATCTGGATAACCTTCTCGCGCAGGTTCAGAATTCCTGTAGGTCTAGTGGGCTGTAGAGTATTCCCGGAGAGTGGTTGTATCGTAACTTCACGTCTGAGAGACATGAGATCATGGACAGACGGATATTGTCCATCTTCAATATTACCAACTCTTTGCAATTCCACATCAGACCTGAAAAGAGGGAGAGGTGCATTAATATATTTTTGACTTTATGAAATGGGAATTAACGTCCTACTGTTCTGCACTGATCAGCATATGAAATGAAGTGTGCTATGTGTGTTTTTGTCCTATCCGAGCAACTTTACATGTATATGTTGTCCCTTGCCAGGCACTCCAGAGATCGAACAAAAGACATCCCAAATCGCGATGCTAACGTCTCACTCACTAGTTCACAGCTTTGCATAGAGTTAAAACATACCACATTATTGTCATCTATTATAAGAATCCTTACAACCCGTCATATTTCTCAAATACAACAGGAAACTGGCTCAGTGAATAAAGAGAGAGATAGAGAGAGAGAGAGAGAGAGAGAGAGAGAGAGAGAGAGAGGGGTGTTAACGGCTACTCAACACAAACTAGATTATTTCGAGAGTTACACATGGTTCAATTTTATTTCAATAATTCACTTGCATGTAGAGGTCTTTGTCTTTAGCAGTGGGAGGAAACCAGAGGATCCGGAGAAAACCCATGAGGTTGGACAGGTGACCCTACTCCTTGTCACGTACAACCGGGGAATCGAAACCATAATATTTGGCTCAATGACAGACCTTCTGATACAACCCGCATGTGCTAATCATTCGGCCACCCTACCCCTCCCTCAGTGAATAAAGCGCTGGCTCACTTACCAGGAGTATCCAGTGTTTAATCCTGGCTTTGGTTGAGAAAGTTCCCAGGGATTTTTCCAGCATGGTTTGCTGTAGTCAGGAATGCAGAACGGAGTCCTGGCAAGAAACAGTGTTTAGTCCTTCGGATGGACTCACAAAAACCTAGGTTCTGTGTTAAAGTTCAATTGTTGTCCTGTTCAAATGTATGGCATGTGCTTATCTTCATTAGCCCAGTTGGTGCAGAAAAGTAGAAGATAAACCTGCATCTGAGATTTTCCCTTAAATTGCTGTGTTATGTTAGCTTTTTTTGATATGTGGGAATTTTTGACCTGACAGCTGCAAATTTCTTTTACTTGTATGCCAATGTATAGCGGGACCTCATTTTTTTGGGACTATCCAAATGACTAGACACTGTCCTTAATAGACCTCCCTCCTGCACCACTGACAAATGGAAACAGCACCGGAAAAATCCAAGGAACTTTCTAGGCCAACACCGGGGGCAAACCTGAGACCTCATGGATAGCGAGCAAGTGTTGTATTTACTGAGCTACCGCGTCTCCTTGCATTTTATCAAAAAAGCTAGGTGTTCAACACCGGTACTTCTGACATATTAACTGGCCTTGAAATGTTAAAAAAAAGCCCAAAACAAATGTCATAGATATATCTGAATTTAAAATTGAACTCAATGGAGAAAAAATAACTGTGGGTCGATACCTTATTCCAACTATCAATAATGGAGTTATCCCCCTTCCTAAATAAAACCGTTACAATGTAAAACACTGTGCACACTTATTCCATGCATTTTGATATATTTAATATAAAAACCCTAACTTCTTTAATATTAAGTCAAGAAACGGTGATATATAATCGATAGGAACGCACATAAAATCACACGTGCACGCACTAAACGTAATACGTAATGTGTACAAAGTTATCGTATAACGGGACAACAGCACGAATATGGCCAGCCATCTTTGATCGCGAATGTCGAGTTAAACAAGGCCAAAACAACGTACTTTTTCGATTTGCATATCACTCAAATTCATCATAATTTCAAAGTTTCTAAATGTTAGTAACATTTAAAAGGCATTGCGAAAGACGGAATTACAACATTAATATACCTGAAAATTAAACGAAAGTGAACATAAACATGGATTATTTCAGTGAAAAGTCGAGAAGAAACCTACCGGTTGGACGCCATTACTAAGAGGGCGCTCGAGTCAAATCTTTGGCTTGGCCTAGTTACAAAATAACAACAAAATCTCAACACAATGACTGATCATTAGCCAGATGACAATGTAGCGAAAATACAAATACATTTGAATATCACGTATTTTACAGAGTTAATTATTTTCTTCCATCAACTTTATTTCTTAAATATAGAAAAAAATGCGGTTAGGATTATATTGCTATACCTCCATCAACACACTTCGATATTGATAAATTAAAAATTTAAACAACAGTTATACTAGATTGACCCTTATTGTGTTAATTAGCCTCATATGCCCCTTTTTTTTTTTTTTTTTTTTTGGTTTGGCGGGGTTGGGGGGGGGGGGGGTAGCAGGTGCGCGCTGTATCATAAAGTCTGTCATTGAGTCAACTGGCGTGGTTTCGATTCCCCGGTTGTGCGTGCACAAGGAGTAGGGTTGCCTGTCCAACCTCGTGGGTTTTCTCCGGGTCCTCCGGTTACCTGTTTCCACTGTTCAAAACATATATGTTAGTCCCGAAATGACCTAGTGGACGTTTAACCACATTTCTCTTTCTCTCTGGTTTTGTTTTTATTTATTTTTTTTTGGTTGTTTTCTTTATGAAAATAAGAAAACGATTTGATTTTAAATATAATAAATGGTTTTATATAAATACATTTGGGAACATGAAAATTATTATTCATTTTAAGTGGGAAACAAATACCCCCCCCCCCCCCCCACCCACACACACTTCACCATCACGCAATAGAATTTACCCCCCCCCCCCGGCCCACTGAAAGGAACCCCTTACAATCTCAACCAAAAACAAAGCAAAACAAAACCCTAGCCCCCCTCCCATCCCCATCCCCACCACCCAAAAATTATACCCCCCCCCCCCAAGAAAAAAACACCAAAACAGACAAATAAACAAAACCCTCAGAAGATTTGTATTAGGCTTTGCTTGAATGAATTATTATTCGAATGAAAATGAATTTCATATTTCTCTCGACGTATTGAGAGAGAGAGAGAGAGAGAGAGAGAGAGAGGCATCCGTAGATAAACAACGTTACGAGGTTAGTTGGCAATATTTACTTGAGTTACTTGGGACTCTAGACCACCAGCCCCCTGCAATGGCTAGCCGCACCTACACGTTCACCGACCCCATTGTTTAAATAAAGTAATAGCCTACAACATTCGCATTAAAAGAAATAAAAAACGCCCCCCCCCCCCCAAAAAAAAAACAAAAAAAAAACAACAACGTGGTATCAAGTGTTACAGAAAAATAATTTATAAGTGAAATCCGTTCTAATAAAATATATTCTTTTATTACACACATCATTCATCCAAATGCAAAGACATTCGCTCCATGGGTAATAATATTGACCCCTGAAGATTAACACGTGCGCGTTAGACCGTAGGGCCTGCCATTCAATCAAGTGGCATGGTTTCGATTTCGTGCTTGTACGTGACAAGGAATAGGATCGCCTGTCCAATCTCGTGGGTTTACTAGAACTCTCTCTCTCTCTCTCTCTCTTGAGTATAAAAATCATTGGCAACACAAAAGACCCCCTGATCAACGTCACTATCTGGGCACCATATTCTCCAAAGCACACAACATGACTTACGCCCTTCATTATTATCCCGGTAGCAGCAAAACGACGCTGACATTGCAAAATTCTCCTTTCATCTGTCACCATTAAAATTACCAAATGTAAGTCTCATCTATTCCTTAAAAAAATCGGAATTTGTTTTATCGCTATTCGTGTAGGATTAAATCTATTTTGATGGTAATTCGGCGCCAAGAATGCAAGATACGCTTGTAGACGTTTACTCGGGTCCCAAATTGATCATCAATTCTATATATCGACTATTGCGTGTAAATCTGGTCTCCACGTGGCCAATAGACGGTGAATTCTTGTTTCTTTAATTGGCAAACAGCGAAAATCTCATCTCTTGTTTCTGTAGACGAGGTATTATTGGGAACGGGGTTTGGTTAGTGGTCTAACGCGTTCGCCTTAGATCATAAGGTCTGCCATTGAGTCAAGTGGCGTGGTTAGGATTCCCGGCTTGTACGTGATAAGGAGAAGTATCGCCTGTCTAACCTCGTAGGTTTTCTCCGGGTCCTCCGGCTTCCTCCCACTGCATAATACCCCTATGCCTTTGGATGGCTGAATGGTTAGCACATGCGCTCTGTATCATGAGGCCTGTCATTGAGTTAACTGGCGTGGTTTCAAATCCCGCCTTGTACGTGATAAAGAGAAGTATCGCCTGTCTAACCTCGTAGGTTTTCTTCGGGTCCCCCGGGTCCTCCGGTTTACTCCCACTGATAAAGACCCCTACGAATGGACGTCAAACCCTAAACGAGGCAATATCTTCATTCAACCACGGAATATCTACGCAATATCATCACTCAACCAGATATTAACATCCTTCAACCAGATAATATCATCATTCAAACAGACAATATCATCATTCTACCAGGCAATATCATCATTCAATAGATAATAACATCATCAACCAGACAATATCATCATTCAACTAAATAGTATCTTCATTCAACCAGATTATATCATCATTCAACCAGATTATATCATCATCTTTCAACCAGATTATATCATCATTCAACCAGATTATATCATCATCAACTAGATAATATCATCATTCTACCAGGCAATATCATCATTCAACTAGATAATATCATCATTCAACTACATAATATCATCATTCAACCAGACAATATATCAATCAGGTGTTTTAAAAAATCTTAGCAGCATACCCTGCCTCGGGAAACTTGACGATTTGCCATAAAATTTACAGTGTGTATTTGTGCACCAAGGAATATGTTTTATGCACTACACCATTATACCAAATATATTTCCTGTGAGTCGATGGCATAAAATGTGTGAACTATGCATTAAATTGGATCCTAAAATAGCGCGCGAAAAGTACTCGGTACTCGTTAGAGACGGTTGCCAACTTTATTATCACGTGCCAAGTAAAATTGAATCAGATAAAAGCCCCGATGACGACGGAATTTTAACTTGTATTAAAGATTGCATTTTTTTTTGTGTGTAGAAACAATTGAAATGCGGTGTAACATTCTGCTTTGCTGCTCCAACCGGGCGAATAAATATGAAAACGTTAGACAGACAGCGGCGCTACCTCCTTCCCTTATTTCCAATTCCAACTACAATATCAAGAGTTCTGTGTAAATCAACGTGTACACGGGACTTTCGATTTTCGAGGCATCCGAACGCCTGGACGTTGTTTCTTGCCAGACACCAATGGCAAAGGGAAACCACGCTGAGAATTCCCGAGGAGCGTTCTCGGCCAACACAAGGACCGAACCCAGGATTCTCCTGGTTAGCGAGTCAACCCCTTACTCACTGACCACAGTGACCCACTGTAGATTTAAAGGTATGTTCGATGGTATCTATTTCCTCTATCCCAAGGTGGTCTAAGCAAACTTTTTGGCATTTTCTAGCACGTTTTGTAGGAAACACTTTGCGATATCATCCAAGGAACGAAGGGAACGAAGGGATTCTATTTGTGGCCTGGGGTCATCTTAAACCGAGTACATTGGCCTTCTGGACTCAGCGTTCAAGTGTCTGCTCCATTTAGCTTTTAATAACCTAATGGCGAGAGTTGTACACGTGGCAGGGTATGAATAACTCCTTCTAGAATTCTAAACATAGCAACTTCAGATTGAGAAATGAAATGGGGTTTAACGTCCTACTGCTCTGCTCTAATGAAGACAGGCATACGCCATGCAGTATACTATGAGGGAAATTTTGCCCGGGCAGCGGCACTATGGCCTACTCTTATACCGAATTCCAACTGCCAAGGGATCATTTACGTGCACGCCAATGTATACACGGGGCACCGGTTTATCGTCTCATCCGAAAGACTAGACAGCTGCCCTTATCAGGCCCTCCGTCCTGCACCATTGACAAGGGGAAACCATGTCGGAAAATCCCGATAAACTTTCTCGGCCAATGCAGGGATAGATCACGCGACCTCCAGACTAGCGAGCCAGCGTCTTACCCACTTAGCCACCGTGGCTGCCGTTTCAGATTGAGATATCTTATTTATTTATTCTGTAGCACCGAATAATATTTTTTTTACATCCTACTAAACTGCATGAATAATGAGAAGAGCAGCAGTTAGATGGAAATAGATTAAACTGGATTCATCCAAAAATACATTAAACATACATTATGCAAGAGCTAGATCTGCCTATTGCAGGTCTTTCTTTAGACCTGAAATGTTATCTAAATTATTAATTAAACATTAATTAACCTATCCAGATTATAATCAACTCTCGATGTCATTGCTAGCCTGCGATATTTACTGGATTATAATCCGATCTGCTACTTAACGCTCATGATTAAATCAAAAACTGGATAATCGAGACTATATTTTTTTTATCGTACATACTTTAGTAATGATCATCGAGGCTTGGCCCAAAATTATCGCTAAACTCCCTCTCTCTCCCATCCCCCCTCTCTCTCCCCCCCCCTCTCTCTCTCCCCCCCCCCCCTCTCTCTCTCTCATACACACACACACTTTGAACCAGTCCAGTAATCTAAGACTGTCTATTTCAGATTGTATACCGGATAAAGTTTCAAATCTATTATAAGCCGTGATATTTACAATGTTTAGGCGAACTATTCTACATCATTCTATTTATAGATGACTAACAACAGGTGCGCGTCTTGTAGATTTACACCGTGGTATTTTATAGTTAAATTAACCTTCAATCATCATCAGTCTGTCTACTGCCGACCTGTAGAAAATAAAAACACAGAATTTCTTTCGTTACTATGAGCTATATGTATTTTAATAGAACTGTAGATTTGCCTAGTTGTTCAAATAAGACGAACCCCAATTTTCCAGGGAGACCTTGAGACGCACGTAAAAGAACCCATAACAAATCTTAAGAAAGGTCGGGGATACGGAAATGAAATGGGATTTAGCGTTCGACTGTTCTGTTCAGACTGGGCTAAT